GAGGCAACTGAGAGGGTATCACGGATCGATGAAGTTGTGTATCGTCCGCGAACATGTGATACAGCATGTCAAATTGCTTGATCATTGCACCCAGTTGCTGAACTTACATAGTGAAAAGCACTGGGCCTAGGACCGAGCCTTGGGGTACTCCGAATTCAATTAAAGATTGCTTCGAGGTCAAGCTGTTTGAAATAACTCACTGGATGTATATATAAGGCTTGGTTACCACAAAATCTCGCGCACTGGTGGCTTCTCTCGTTCTACATTTACAATGATGTCCAGATGTAAAAAAATGTCCACAAAAGCTTATATAATGTTTAATTTTAATGCCGCTGTTGCTCTTTTGATATAAACAGAGAACAATTTACGTTGAAAATTCTTAGAAACAGAAAAAAATCCATTTAAATTTTGAATGTTAGAATTAAATTAACCATAAAATAAATATGTTTTCTTTTAAAAAAGTCTTTGGCTTTAAATGCTGGCGAAATTAGGTCATTTATAGTGTTTTAAATACTTATTTAATTATTAAAAAAAATATAATGACCAATGCCTTTTAGAAATATGGAGGTAATTCACATGTTTAAATTAACGATAAATTCCTCTGTTAATGTAGATGAAAAAGACACACAGGTCGTACTGAAACCTGACCTTACTTGTAACAAAAGAAACCTTTCTTTAACCTTTGATGACATCAACTCTTCCGGATTCTTTTACAACAAAACCTGGAGGTCACTATCCTGTCAACTGCCTCCTGTCGACAAAGAGTTCCTGAGGACATGCTTAAAAAATACACAGGTCATTGATTTTTATCCTGTATAATCATAAAACATAATTATTGGTTTATTTTGAATTAAACTGAGAATATTCAAAGGGAAGCTTTGAAATGTATGTACGAATCCATGTTTCGTAAAACGCTGAACGCATTTGATGAGTTCATACTCACCAACATGAACTATCTCCTCATGCAAAATGTACGCCCCCGACCCAAGCAAAACGTGCACCCGAACCCAAGCAAAATGTGCCGCCATACCCAAGCAAAACGTGCACCCCGACGCAAGCAAAATCTAACATCCCATCATAATTTAGCCCTTGAGAAAATCTAACCTAGAATAATCTAAGCTAGCCGGCATAATCGAACATCAGCAGCAAAACCTAACATCTCAGCATAATCTAACTCTCATGAGTTTAGTCTCGATACAAGGTTAATTTAACCTCACCTCACCATCATCGATCATTTTAAAAAATAATCTCACTCTCCCATAATAAGTGAACACCCTCAGCTTAAGCTGTCAAAAATCCCCCCAATCATGATTTACTCATCCGACAAAGCACCACCAAGCAAGCGACCGTAAACAGCTATACATGGCTTATTAGTTAATGGGCTATATGTGCTTAGTGTGAGTTTAGACTAATGCAACAATTTTTTTTCCTTGTATTGATAATTTGTCGGGAATTTCAGCCAAATAGAGTGTTTTTCGGTAGAACGGTATATAAAAAAACGGTTAGTCGTAGCTACGCCACTGGAATAGTTCAACGCCGAACATTGGCTTCGTCAAACATTAGATGACAGCAGTCGTCTCGTGCTGTCCCTTCTGGTTCCTTAAGCTTATCCAAAAACGAATGAACCAAACAGTTTTATTTTTATGTAAGACCTGACGAGCAGCAATTTGCATTGGGACGAGCAATAATTTGAAGTAACGTGTTGAGATGTTCAAAATAGCTTTCTCGTTTAACATTATTTAACCCCCCCCCCCCACTCTTAGAGCACCACCCCCCCTCCTCAACTTTTCCAATGTTGTTTTATGACAATCTTTAGATTTTTCGGAGCATATTTCTTGTTGGATACATTAATGATTCCCCGTTGTTAATTTTTCTCCTGTTCAACAGATGATTATTATCGGAGACTCAAACTCCAGGAAACAGATGGATATTATGACGCAAATGGTTGGGTGCACGGAAAAGATCAAAAGAACGCAGGTACGACCCATATGTACGACCCATATGTAAGACCCATATGTACGACCCAATACGTACGACCCCTATGTATGACCCATACGTACGAGCCATATGGATGGCCCATATGTATGACCCTTATGCACGACCCTTATGCACGACCCATATGGATGAGCGCAGTTCGTGAAAAAACATATGTGAGACATACTGTGTTTAAATCAATATTATATCATAAAGATTATGGGGTCAATAAAAGATACAACACAAGCGAGTAGGTTAGTTTACTATACTTTAAATCGAGATCCACAATAAAAAAATAAATTACAACGATAAAGAAGGATTTTTTTAAACAAAAACCCCCCAAAAGATTGTAAAAAGATTGTAAAAATGCTTTTTTTTTTATAACGATCGATTGAATTGGTGTACGCACTAGGCTTTGAAACTGGAGCATGAGAAAGTTATATGACTTGATCACAATGATGAATTCCATGTAATTACACATTTAAAAAGAAAAAAAAAAGAACTTGAATACTAAACAATCTCTCCTCAAAGAAAATATGACTCTGAAGTCTTTATCTCTGTTGACAGGTGACCTGGCACGCCCCATTGTGGTGTGACGTTGACAGCCTGGGACTTTCCATCAAATATTACCCACCCAAAATGCCATTCTATGGATCAGTGGTAAACATTTTGATCATAAAAAACTGCAATATCTTTCCAGGAAACGTAAGAAATATAATACCTTTCCAGGCAGCATCAGATAATTTAATACATTTCCTGGAAGCATACTTTTGGTTGAGTGTGTATGTAGCCCCCGCGACATTCATGCCCCGAACATAACCACTCCGCTGCCGAAGCCATCAGTACTTAGAAATTTTAATGACGTTGATGGATGGAAAAGTATATGAGCTAAAGTCTTTGATCTGTTTAAGTTTTTATTCGATTTAGATTGATTATTTTATGCCCTTTATCAGGGAAAAAAACCACAAAACCTTGGGGTAAAATCAATTAAATTCACAAATGCAACTATTCCATCGCTTACTGGGTTCATACCAATTTAACAACAACAAAGTTAAGGTTTCTATTTTTGTCAACACAACCTGTTAGGTTTTTATTAACATTTTATTACCTGATCCTTTATTTCCAGGTTAAGGCACTGAACGAAATTAAATCAAAATGAAGTTTATTTTTGCCCCAATCGTGTATTTAAATAGAAATAGTGTTACTCGTCAAATAAACGTTGATTTAGTTACTACTAGACTCGGTTCATATGACTCATACATAACAATGTAGCGTCAAAAGTTATGAGCATATTTATTTTCATTCTATGACTTCAGGGTGAAGACCTGCCCAACCACGTCCTATACTCATCCGTCTCACAGCTTGACGCCATCCCAGCAGACGGCAAGTACCTCGTCCATCTGCACCACTTCCTTCACCTGGTTCCGTTTCACTTGTCCCTCGCCGAACATCGGCTGCGGCTGATACGCAAGGCCATCGAACGGCTCATGGCCAGAAATCCTCACGTGATAGTCGTCTACCAATCGGCGCATACTGCAATTGACAAAGTGATCAGAAACAAGCACAAGATGAGCGGTTTCCTCTTGGATATGCAGAAGGAGATTCTCCGAGATCTGGGCGACCGGGTGATGTTTATGTTCACGTGGCCCATGACCATTGCGGCGGAAAACACCGACGGACACCCGACCGTCTCTGACCAGTTTACGAAATTTTACATGGGTCACGTTTGTGGACGGTGGTGATTGGATGTCGTGGTAAAGTGATACTTTCTGTTGGTTGAAGTTTTCAGCCATTGATTGTTCAGAGAGTTTTCTATATGTGAAATAATTTATTTTTAAAAGTTTTGATCAGCTGCAAGAAAAAAGGCGAACCATTTAAAACTACTTTCCCTTGATGTTTTGCGGAAGGAACATTTGTTTAGAAGGTTGCTGAATGAATCCAACAAGAATCAACAAAGTGAATGATTAAAGCACAACTTTTTAAATACAAAAAAGTGATTGTAATTACTCAGAGAGAAAAAAAACACGTAACAAAGTTAATATAGAATCTAATAGTTATTATCCATGGCAAGTAAGTTATTGTAATATTTCATGTATGCCATCGCTAGAGACAGTTTAATTTTTTTTATCGTTAAACGGTAAGGAAATTCATTAATAGTTTTAGGGAAGAAGTGTGTGAGGGAAAAAAAACGAGTTTTTATTGCATAAACAGATTATAGAGTATTTTTATTCAACTGATTTTAATCCATGGATATACTATTTATTTTTTTGTTTGTTTTTTTACATATGATTTTTAATGTAGAATTTTAATGTAGAATGACGTTAATATAATTGCTTATCAAGAACTGTATAGAATACGCCTGACTGGTCTATGAGAGGCAGATGACAGGAATGGTTGCTGAAAATATTACAATGTTTTGCTGCAGGCATGTGATGCTTCAACTTGTTCCGGTGGGTTCAATTTTACATTCTTCTTATTTCAAAGGAAACGTCTTGTTTTTATAGTTTGTTGTTCTCTATTTGGGGGAAGAATGGGGGGGGGGAGGGTTGCGAATTTTGTTTTTTTTTTAAATTATTTTGTTAAATTAAAATTAAACAAAACATTTTTTATTTTGCAAAGAAGGTATTCAGAATGGAAGTTGAAAGTAAAATTGATTCACGTGTTTATAGTTTGTTGTTCTCTATTTGGGGGAAGAATGGGGGGGGGGAGGGTTGCGAATTTTGTTTTTTTTTTAAATTATTTTGTTAAATTAAAATTAAACAAAACATTTTTTATTGTGCAAAGAAGGTATTCAGAATGGAAGTTGAAAGTAAAATTGATTCACGTGTTCAGAATGAGGTCGTAAGTAATAATGAAGCGTTTAACCCTTAGCTGCCATTGCATGTGATTCATGCCTTATGTTGATTTTGTAATCTTCATATCATTTGATGAAACGGCCCTTTAGTTATTTTATCCCATGTTATTTATTATTTTGACACCGTTGAGTATGGACCGGGGGGGGGGCGGGGGGCAATAGATGGGGCTGAGGGGGGTGGGGGGGTCTGGGGGGGCTTGTCTGTAAATGAAATGACGCTGTTGGTGTAGGGATATTTCTTGTTTTTATAACCGATCGTTTTTTCTGTTGTTTTGTTAGCCCTTTAGTTATTTTATCCCATGTTATTTATTATTTTGACACCGTTGAGTATGGACCGGGGGGGGGGGCGGGGGGCAATAGATGGGGCTGAGGGGGGTGGGGGGGTCTGGGAGCGCTTGTCTGTAAATGAAATGACGCTGTTGTTGTAGTGATATTTCTTATTTTTATAACCGATCGTTTTTTCTGTTGTTTTGTTCGCCGACGAGGGCTTTCTGCCGACACGTTTGTTGTTTTGTTGCGTTTTATTTTATCAGGTTTAACCTTACTCTGTTTTATTCATTTTTATATTTCGCTCTAACCTGATTGCAGTCTCTCCCCTTATTACCCTAGCACAATCCTTGCTGGGATTCGCGTCACATGAGGGTCAGGGGTCAGCAAACTTAGCGTCGTGTCCTTTGTCCTGGCCACCCCCAGCAGACAAAGTAGTGGGACCGGAGGGGGAACCTCGTTTTTAAATTTCGCATCACTTATTCTTTCAAGCTGTTGGGGTGGATGTCTGTTATATGTATCCATTTAAATTTTACCAATAACACAACTAAAATTAACATTCACGTAACACATCTGCATGGGGGGTTGAAGGGGGGGGGGTTGTGCTACTAACATTCAAGCATGTATTGAAATCAGAAATAAATCTTAAAAATGAAAGTAACACGTTTGTTAGAGTGTGAATATTTTTATCATTTAAAATCGAACAATCACAAAGCGATCTTTCGACATGGACTAGAGCAGCGGTTCTCAACCTCCCTAATGCCACGATCTTTAATAACAGTTCCCCGTTGTAGCCGCAACAAACGGGAACGTTATTTTCCTCGCTACTTCATAAATATGTGTTTTCCGATGGTCTTAGACGACCCCTGTGTAAGGGTCGTTCGACGCCCAAAGGAGTCATGACAACAGGTTGAGAACGGCTGGTTTTAGAGCACAGAAGGTGAAGCAAATTATGCGAGCGTATAATTAGACAACTGCACTCCTTCTTTAGAAAAAAAGTTTCATTTAATGACTTAGAGAGGACTAGCATTGTAACGAAGTTAAATATAGAGTCAAATAGTTATTATCCATGGCATGTGCGTTTGTGTAATGTTTCGTGCAGTGAGTAGTATTAGCCGTTAATTTACTTCAATAAATGCAGGGTATTTTTATCTTGCATTTCAGTGTTTTATGTCAATTAAAATATGACTTGTGGGCTGGTGATTGAATTATGATGACTATTCATGTATGTTTTACGTATATATATCTTGAGGATTATGATTGTTATATGGCATGAACTTCTTTATACGTTAAATTGCCTATTTGAAACAATGCCATTAATGTTAAATATGTGAATATTTCTGTATGTGATGGATTCACATTTAATGAGTTGTGGAATTTTAAAAAAAAATCAGACTTGTGTAGTTTTTTTTATTAAAAAACATACGTTTACTAAGTAAGCGTGAAATACATAAATTACAATTAAAATTTTATAATTACAATAAACAAGACAAAGCATTTGAATAAATTCGGTCTCATTACACAATGATGTGCGAAACGTGTGATGCATGGTAATAAAAATCTTGTCTCAAAGTCATTTTAGACGGAACATTAATTGTAATTTTCATTAAAAAAAATTGCAATGTGCCTTCTTATTGAAGTAAAGTTCCAGATTGTGTTAAGCCTAGTACATAATTAATTTCAATAGCCAGAGGAAATAAAATCGTGGAAATTAAATTAAGACAAGTGACGAAATCCATCGCTTAAAAATCGTTGCAAATAATGACCGAAATCTTGAGATTAGAGAATTGAGACAAAAAGGGGTCATTTTCTTACCTCGTGGTGCGTATGTTATTATCTATGACAATGCAGAACAATGTTTTGTTCGGCTCATTTCAACAAGTGTTCTACGTTGGCCTTTAAGTCCAGAATGTGGGGGGGGGGGTCGGTGGCGAGGTGGAGAGGGTTATGCGGTGTCAAGCACCGCACGAGGCCTCAAGTTGATTTGAGGCATCAACATTTTATATTTTATACAATGATTAAAAAAAAATTTGATATATTTTTTTTTTTCATTTTAAGAAAAAGGGGAGGGGATGGTTTAAACTTTCAAAGAGTCTCTCTCCCCCCTCCTCTCCCCCTCCCCCCAAATCCTTTCAGGATTCACCAAACTGGCTCAGAGTGGTAACGAAATACACAATAAAGTATGTTGATTGAGCCAGACATATGAGAAAATATGTGAATGATAATGACACAGGTGAGTCAGTACAATGAAATTATAATACTATCATTTTTTAAAAAATCAAATAATATACAAACCAATTCATCGCAGCATGTCTGAAGGTAACGCACAAATGCCGGTATCAAAGCTATAATATAAGAACCGTAATGTCAGCTGCGAGATTATTAAAAAAATTAATTAATTTTACCAATTTGCATAGTGAGGTTAGGGCAAAGATTTTTTTGCGCACAAGTCTCCATGACAAAAAAAACAACAAGTCAACAGTTGATCTCCCCGCGACATCGCAACTCCTACTTCTCTGAAACCAACATTGGTCAGCTATATTGTTTAGTATCCTCACAAACCATAAATTTTGATGCTGTAACTTGTCTTAAATTGGGTCATAACAAACACGTAATAATCTAAGAGATGGTAATTTCATTGGATTCCAGCCTGAGTCAGTTAATAGTTCTGCATTTCTTTTTGTTTTTATATTTACGGTGTAACGTTAAATGAAAACAAATATGTTTCAAACACATGACATTTTGAGTTTGATTGTGTTTAATCTACAATTCATCTAGTTTACAGCAGCAAAAGACATTCGAAGCATTCAATAATTTTTCTAAATTATGTTCCTCAGAAAGTAATTAAAATCAACCAACTTAGAAGTATCTCTTCCCCCCCCTCTTTCTCTCTCTCTCTCTCTCTCTATTCCCCTCCCCCAAATTGCTGAGATCTACATCAACATAGTTAAGCTTTTTAAAAAAATGTGTTTAGAGGAGATATAAACTTTTTCCCCCATGTGAGCAAGAAGTACATTATATACAAAATCAGTAGAGATACAAGTATGCTAAGTGAAGTCCAGGCGCCCAGTTATAAAGTTCCCCAGGTCACTCTGGTCATCTGATCTGAAGAACTCCAAAGAGAGCTGTCTGAAGTAGGGGAGATCAACCTTGTGCTCGTGATTCTGTGGAATTTGGGGAAAAGGGGGGGGGTGGGGACAACACACAAGTCTAGTCAGAGTTAGAGTTAACAAAACAAGTCGTTAGAATAACACATCCGCTCACAGAAGCACACGGCCAGTTTGAGATAAAAGAACAGGTCGTTACAATATTGAATCAACAGCAATACAAGGCCAGCTGGAGTTACTTATAAATTAATTATAGAAAATAATACAAGATCTAAAAAAAAAGTTAAGAAATAAATAATTTTAAATGGTACAACATCCCAAGCCCCTTAGGCCAACACTAGACTTGGTGCACTCACTTGGCGCACTCAGTTGGTGCACTCATTTGGTGCACTCACTTGGTGCATTCCCTTGGTGCACTCACTTAGTGCACTCACTTGGTGCACTCACTTGGTGCACTCATTTGGTGCACTCACTTGGTGCATTCCCTTGGTGCCCTCACTTTGTGCACTCACTTTGTGCACTCCCTTGGTGCACTCACTTGGTGCACTCACTACCAGAGTTCCTGATTAAACATAGTGTAACCTATTTCATTAAATGAAATATGCAGATATAATAGACTACAAGACAAATTGTAACCTATTTCTTTAAATGAAATCTGTAGATATAATAGCCACTATTTTAAAGTGACGTGACACGTTTGATCTGGACTCTTACCGCTGAGAACAGTAGGAAAGCTGTCCGCGCGTCCTTTGCAGAGACGTTAAAATCACTGAGCACGTATTCGAACTCTTCCAGGTCTATGGCACCGTCCGCTAAGATGTTCAAATTTCATTGTTACTAAGACTCGATGAGACGTGGCTTCATATATCTATGGGACTTAAATGATTTTATATGACTTCAAATGACTTGATCTTACTTAAAATGACCTAACATGAATTAAAAGGACTTAATAGGACTTAATATATCTTAATCACGCAACGATCCTTTTAATCGAAGTATTCGGTATACATTTATAATCAAGCTTTCGACACGAAAACAACAAGTTAACAGACGAAATATCGCCTAGGCTTTCAAATCATTGCAAAAAACTGTCACGTTGTAAATGAATCGTTGAACCAGACATCTTTAGGCTTAAACAATTTTCTGGTTCAACTATTTGTTTTAAAAAAACAATAGAGTTCAATTAAACGGCCGTTTTGATCACGATGCCTGCTCCAGTAGACAATACAAAAATAAGAAACCACAGATACTTAAAGTTAAAAAAAAAAAAAAAAAAAACGGGCGTATTTGAAAAAAAAAAAAAAAAAAAAAAAAAACGTGTGTATTTGAAAACCTCAGTAAAGTCAATGCGGCTTAATGTTCAGAACAGGACGCGCTTAATTAAAAGGCTATCGTCAGAGGCGTAGTAAGGGGGTGGCAGGGGGGAACAGGTGTCCCCGGGCGCAAGCTAGTTAGGGGCGCCAAAATGTGTTTTGATAATATAATATGGGTAAAAAATGATGGGTTTGAGAGTTGAAAAAAAGAAAAAGGGGCTCTTTAAAATGGATCTTGTCCCCGGGCGCGAATTTTGTCCCCGGGCACCAAACCCCCTTGCTACGACTCTGGCTATTGTTAGAAACGGAAGTTAAGTGGTTCAAAACCCATACATGCGTCGAACATAATTTTGTAGTGCGTATCGTCAAAGTAAAATATCTTATTTAGAATTAACGTAAAATTTTAAACAATGAATATTCAGAATAGAAATGAAGGATCACTAGCAATAGGGTATGTGATTTACTCAATATGGAACACAGGGTGCACAATCTGGACTTATTTGTTCTCATTCTTAACTCTCGCTGTTTCATTATTTAAAGCCGTTATAGATACATCTGATGCGCCCCTGTGTTCACCTCAAGCCTAAACACTGCTCCACTATATTTTTGTTATACGTCAAACGGCTTGAACGCAGTCCCTCAAATAGTATCGTAAATTATCTGACAACTGATTGAAAAAAAAAAGTCAGATTTTTTATCAAATTTTGTGATTATTGACTGACTAAGCAGCCACAACATTTCTTAAGCTAACACATTATATCCTAAATCACGGCAGATCGCCGGCAACAGGCTCCAATTACAATATTGTCTTTGTCTGCGGTGATAAAGAGGTAAAAAAATGTACTTGTAACGTACAATGTTTTCACATGAAAACAGAGAGGTAGCATGAGTGAACAGTGACCATGTTTTTTCCACAAGAGAGAGAGAGTGAATTGTCTTTTGAGAGGACAATGTGAGCTCCACGTTTTTGGAGAGTAAAATTATGTTTTTGTCAGAGCGGTTGTTTTCCACGCTTTGCTGGTAATAAAGTATGAGTTGACTGATATAGTCAGGGCTGAGCGCAGAGCAGTAGAGAACAGTAGAGTTAGAGCTGAGTAACGAGACAGTTGAGCTGAGTTATAGTAGTGTGAGGACGTGTCTTTCTGAATGATGGAATACTATAATATATACATGTGAAATTATTACATTCATGCAAGGATTATTATTATCAGTGTCAAGTGTGATTCAATAAAGTACTGTAAGTTTTAACCAGAATTGAGTATTCTTCTTTGCGTGCCTGGATAATAAGTGGAAGAATGAAGAAGTCTTAGTCGGCATCCTGAAGTATTAGCATAAGTAACCATACTACTGACATAACCCACAGCATAAGAAATAAGATCCCACGCCATGTCAGAGTAGATGTGTTACAGTACTCAACTATATAAACAAATGTATTTTCTTTTGCGATGATCTTTTAACAGAGCCTTATTCAATTTATTTCAACTGGCGTTGTATATAACAAGCTTGAATTTTTTTTAAAACTATTGAACTGTTAAGAAACTGTAAAGTAAATATTTTTAATCTGATCCTTTTATTGTTTATCTAAGCTTTATGGAGAGTTGCCACAAGGAACAAAAAGAAGATTTATTGGACAGCCACGCCTGAGATTTATGGACGTTTGCAAACGGAGCATGAGGGAAGCCAACATTGAAATCAACAAATGGGAAATCATTGCAGAACAACGGTCCAGCTGGCGAACAGTAGTGTAGGAAGGAGTCAAAAGGGCAGAAGATGCGTGAAACGAGGCCCTTGCACCAAAAAGAACAATACGGAAGGCCAAATCTAACCAGGAATCAATATTCTCCTGAGAGAAATGCAGTCGAGATTGTAATTCCAGGATTGGCCAAGTGAGTTGCAGTGTAGGACTAGATATCTGCTCCATCGTCTCACGAAGACGGAAGGATGCCTAATATATTTTTTTCTTCGTATCTTTGTGTTGTTTTTTTCCTGGATAATGCCTTGATAATGATGGAGCATTGACGCGCACGATGCCATCACAATTTTGTTCAAATCATTATCAGTGAAAATATTGATTTGTGTAAAAGAAAACAGAATATATATTTTTCATAAACGACTATATTCCTTTCACATCTGTTACAATCCTTACCTGTTCTGTCGAAAAGATGAAATTTGTACTCGATGTATCTATCCAGCCAATCAGGCACTTTGTCTTCCTGTTTTTCCGGATTCTTCTCTCGTTTCCTGGCCAAAAAATCTTGGTTCAGCTTTTCCCACATTCTAAGCTGATTGCGATAAAATATTCATTAATTAAATATTTGTCACAATAAATGTGACATTAAAATACCCAAAATATTTATATAAAATTGTACATTTAAATATGTCAATTACTGAGTCCAAAAGCATGTTTCTTTACGTAGTAGCGTACAATTTGTTGTTTGAAAACATTAAATCCGTCATTTACTTTTTAAAAATTTTTTTAAAAGTTATGACACATGTTTTCGAGCAAAATCAGAGGAAAATTTAGTCCACATTAGTGAGTAAGATCAAAACACATTGTATTATTCAAGACTTCGTATTTTATACGCCATTTTTAGTTAGTTAACCACAGTAAAACATAATTCAATAATTCAGGTGAAAGTTCCACGAAGTTGGGTGCAGCAGAGCTAACGATTTCAACAATGGAAGGGATCTGTTTATGTCGGACACTTGAGATTATGTGGGAAGTAAAGCTGATGCTCGAATAAACAAAGCCCTCATAATGCCATGGAATAATTAACAAACCGGCACCAGCTAAAATTTAACTCCCAACCTTTTATTTTGCTACTTAAATATTATGATTTTTTTAAATAGCATATGGTACTTTAAATTCCTTAACATCAATGTTTTTCATATTGATAAGTCTTTAAATTTGATGGAAAGGGCACACAAATGATGAAATTCAGCATTGTATTATTATTTTGTTTAAAAATTGTTTTTAAAAAATTTATGATTTGAAAACACACACAATTTGAGGATTTAAGGTAAAATGTAAAAATAAAATAAAAATAAATTACTCTCCTATAGAAGAGAATAAATCCAACCTACCCATTCCTCTGACGTCATCCGGCCGTCAAGGTTCGTGTCCCCATCGTCCTGCAGGTATCGCCATATCTCAGCAAAGAGCAGTTTCGTTTTGATGTACATGTCTGAACCCACTTTCCAGCCACTTATCTCACAGACTCTCTGAGATGTAATAAGAGTCAAGTTGTGGAAAAGAATGAGCGATATGAAAGTCGGTGTAATATTAGTTTTTAAAGTATATATAACCTTTAGTAATTTATGAATATATTGCTGAGCCCGTGACGTAAAAAAAAAAAAGTTTGAAAGGTTTGAAAGAAATGTCCTGGACACAATTGAAAGTTGAAAGCCTGATGCCTTGAACTGCAAACAAAAATTAAGCAAAACAAAAGAATGTTGAAAAAAAAAAAACTGAAATAGTTTATTAATGCCTTTTAAAAGATATTACTGTGAAGCCTTCCTGTTAATTACTGTTTGGTTCTCGTTCGAGACATGGAAGTTGATTTCTTCCTTAGACTCTATTCTTATTGTTACATTTCGAGTTCGTTTATTTTCATATAATTTAAATGGCGTTGGTTTAAGTCATGTTTCGACAAATGACAAGCAGGAGACTTTGCAGACGAAAACCTTTGGTTCTACTGTATTATCACTTCATTTTTTATTTGTGTATCGTCAACTCCTAAGTCTTCTTGGATTGATTATATTCGTTAAGTTCTCACACGTTGAAAGCGTCGTACTATTCCCACTATCACTGAAGAAACTCAACTCCTTTTCATCATAATTGTAACTTTAATGTCTAAGTAAATATAATACAAATAACACTTGAATATAGCGCAGCTCGCTATCAGACCTAAATAACACACATCCTATCACTCCAAAGTTCCACTCAAGACTTCCGCACGACTAAAACATACGTCACAATACTGCATAGACAATACGTCACGAATCAGCATAAAAATACGTCATAAAGACAATGGCGGGAAGAGCGTTCACTAACTATAATAGTCAAGCGCGGGAAAAGCGTTCAACAACTAATGAACATAATATTGAGTCGCAACAATTACTAATGAACTCCCATGCTCGACATGTATTACAACTTCAAACAATTTTCTTTATTATAACTTGTTAATGTAAACCTGATCGATTACCTCTCGTGCCACCTCAAAATCCTTCCACTCCAAGACGCCATCTTTATTGAGATCTGGATGAAAAAAAAACAGCATTAGAAAATATATTTTTAAAAAACGAAGGACCACTGTCAAGGAGTTAGAATCCCTGAGCACCTGTTTTGTGCCAGGCGAACTATAAGTGCTGGTATAGCGAAGGGATACACAGGGAAAGGGGGTGGTTCGGTAGTTTGTGCAGGTGGGCAGTTGCAAATACAAATGGACAATACATAAGAACAGTTAGAGATAGATCTAGAAATATAATGTGTTATGGGTGCAGGGGACAAGGGCATGTCATAAGCCAGTGTCCGACAGTACGTAGAATGAGAACACGTTTTCTTATACAAGTCAGAGACAACTACGGTAAAATAACTTGGACGATGCAACCGGCTGTGAGAAAGACAGAACTGCCAGTAGAAGGGACCGGACAAGTAGAACAGCAGACAGCGACCTAGTGACATTAGCATGAGACAACAGAACACTTGGGCATTTCTTATCCATGTTAACATGTTGTCAATGATGTTATTCCAGTCCTACTTTTAATTTGCGTATGTGGAGATTGATTTCATGTTTAATTTAGGGAAAGATAGGTTGGTTCAATGGTGTCTTTGACATTTTTCTGTACCTACTTAGAACACTGATGGTTTACTTTCTTACGTAATCTCTTAGTCTAAGATCAACGATGTAATGTTGGCCCGGAAGTTGGCCTGGTATTTAAAAGATAATTAAACTATTTTTTGGATTGGTCTACTATATCGTAAAAATGTTTTAATTCGAAAATATTCTCATTATTTCCAAACAAAGATGATTAGGTCTGGGCTTGCTAGCTATCCATTGTTTAAATGTGAGGGATAGGAGGTCAACAGTTTATTGTTATTATGTTTTGGTTCGTTCAAAATTGATTTGTTCATTTTTTTTGGATCTTTAATTTAGATAAAATTTACAGTAGAGTACTGACGTTAGTAAATGATGTTGTAACTATTTACTGTACATGACGTACAGTAATATTTTGTTGTGTTTTAACTGTTGCAGCATACTAGCACTATGTTATTATGCAACGTATTAAAAAGGATTCAACACCGTGACGTTAAATTTAATTGTGACGATTCAACTTCCTAAGTTGAATCTAAAACGGAAGAGGGGGGATATGTCAAGGTGTTAGAATCCCTGAGCGCCTGTTTTGTGCCAGGCTAACTATAAGTGCTTGTATAGCACAGGGATACAAATGGAAAGGGGTTAGTTTGGTAGTGTGGGCAGTTGGTCAGTAGAGCAGGGAGAGCGAGTGGGGTAGGCGCTGAAGGTATCTGCGTTATTGTTAGTTGGTGTTGTTAGTAATAGTAATAGTAGTAGTAAATAGTAGTGTTGTTATCCAAGTAGTATATGTGTGGTTCTTTGGCTAAATTTGTTAGCAGAACCCACACTACTAATCGGATAACGTATTAGATTAGAGAGTGATGAAATAAAAGATTAGACCTAAAAAACTGAAAGAACTCTTGTGTTCAGCGTTTATGCACGCTTGTGTACTAGTGTACAGTGACAGAGTTTTTGTAAATTATCATATCCCTTAGACAACGAAGCCACACGAAATAAATTCGTGACAACCACTAAAAAAAACAAATATTGCAAAAATTATCATTTATAACTTCAATAAAATAAACAGCAAACAAACAAGCAAACAGACAAGCAAACAGAACTCACCGAAGAAGGTGTGAAACTCGTGTAGAAGTTTGCTTTTCTGAAATGCGCTTAGCTCCCCTTTATTCATTGTGATACCCATTATCTCCAAAATAGTCTTTTCAACTGTGAACATGGATAAGTTATAATTTAGTCAATGTTAAAATTTTTTTTTTTAATTTGATAAGTCCATACTAAGAATAAATAATATATATATATGTATATTTAAGTATATATATTTATATCACCAGTACCCCTGGTACAAAACAGTATATATATATATATATATATATATATAAAGAGAGAGAGAGAGAGAGAGAGAGAGAGAAAGGGATACTTTCTTTTTTTAAAGTCGCGATGTTTGTGCCTGGACATCTCCACACTAAATAAAGACTACTGGTGTACCGGTGTAATGCTATATGCGGTGGCATATTTAACATCTGAGAGAATTTTTTAATATGATAAGTACATACTAAGAATAAATAATATATATATATGTATATTTAAATATATATATTTATATCACCAGTACCCCTGGTACAAAACAGTATATATATATATATATATATATATAAAGAGAGAGAGAGAGAGAGAGAGAGAGAGAAAGGGATACTTTCTTTTTTTAAAGTCGCGATGTTTGTGCCTGGACATCTCCACAATAAATAAAGACTACTGGTGTACCGGTGTAATGCTATATGCGGTGGCATATTTAATATCTGAGAGAAAGTTCAGAATTTGTGATTAGAATCCGGTAAACCTTAGTTCCAGAGTGTAAAAAAACTTATTAAATCTGTGTCGGCGTTCACTAAGATGTCGGGTCAGTGTCGAAATAAATTTTTTGGCGGCCCGGCGAAAACAAAGAATTTAATCATGCAAACAAAGTAATGAACAAATTACGACACAAAAAACAACTTTATATACAGTGAAATCTTGAAATAGTGACCCTTAAAATAACGAACGCTAAAGTAACAAACCTTGAAATAACGAACTTGGAAATAACGAAACTTGATTAAATGAAACCCGGATTAATGCTGTCTCTGGAAAATGTGCTAACTATATCATTTTCCAAACTTGTTGAGCTTGCAAATAGCCTTTACTTGTACATTTACAGGTAGCATTAAAGTGATCAAACATACAGGCGTACGAAGAGGGCAAAGGGGAGTCGGTTCGACCCCCTCCCCTCCATCCCCGGAGGCACTTTTCTGTCTCTGATTAAATTTAAAATGACGCAAAGAGTAAAATAATTGAAATAGACTAATAATTCACGAATGCGCCACATTGCATCGCTGCATCCAAGCTTTATAAGGTCAACGGAAACAAAAGCAAGTAATGGAAACAGCTGTTGCGCAATTATGGCTTTCTGATAACAGTCCTCGTCTTAATGATATCGCAAAATCTATACGTATGAATAATTCAGATATGTGACCCTTATTCCTCAACCATTCTTTTCAATCTTACTGACAACCAGGATATCGAGCATTGTCATTGTTCCTAAACAGTGGATCTAACATTGTCATAGTCCACAGACAGTGGTTCTAACATTGTCATTGTGCACAGAAAATCGATATAACATTGTCGTTGTCACCAAACAATGGATCTAACCTTGTCATTATTCCTACACAGCGGATCTAACATTGTCACTGTCCCCAGACAGTAGATCTAACATTGTCAATTTCCACAGACAGTGGTTTTGACATAGTAATCGCGACCAGACGATGGATGTAACATTGTCGTCGCTCCCAGACAGTGGATTCAACATTGTCATTGTCACCAGACAGTGGATCACAATATGTCATGATCTTTAGCCAGGTAATCTCACATTGCCATTGGTCCCTTAAACAGCGTTTGCGTCACTGCAATAACACTGCGAGAATCCACAAGAGATGACTCATCTGCACAGCAAGTCAACTGAACATCAGAAGTACCTCAAACGTCTTCATCCAAACTTTGCTTTCAGCCATTCACAGTCGATCCTACTCACATGTTGACATTTTTTTTGTTCCACCAGACATGTGTTGTTGTTTTTTTGTGTCGTACATACATTAATAGCATACTATAGTGCTCTATCTTGCTGATTTATTTCTATTGCTCCTGGCAGTGAAATTCATCTTATTGGTACATCAGTCTTGGGAATAAGATATTTAAAAAGACCAAACGGAGGTCTGGTTGAGTATTAGCTTCGTACACACAAACTCTTGTAGCGGTCTTTCTAGGAACGTCATTGTCATTGTATTACCTAACTGTCTGAACAAAAAAAAACAAAAAAACTTGCAAGTTTAAGAATTAATTTAAGGTTTACCATAAAATTACATCACAGACATACAAAATTACTTCATAGTGAAGTAATTTTGATATACAACTAAAAGGCCCCAGATGAGAGAATATTATTATTTTAAAATTCAGTTCACGAGCTCGAATAAAACCACATAGTCAATGTTAATTATATCTAATGCTATAAGCAATTTAAGAAATGTATAACAATTCACTACGCACTACGACACCTTTTTTGTTACTCACTGAGTCCACTTGAATGGGTCCTTAGCCAACGCATCGATTTGTTGCACGCTAACTGCAAGGGTTGTCTCCCGCACGTGGGCTGGTGAGCTAAATATTGACATAACTTTGCCACAGGTCGGCAGCCCAAAACATAATTACATCTACAATCGATTGTCACGATGATATTAACTGGGGGTGGGGCGGATCTAAACTTACTTAAAAGTCAAGGGGAAGGGGAGAGGGGGCATTTTCTTTTCTCGTGACTGTTAATTTGAAGTATACTACTTGTGTGTCCTCTTGATTGTTGTTAAATCTTTTCGTCAATTCTTGTCCACTCACTACCAGCTTTCTGCGTGTCAATTACTCTCATATGTCGGGTGGCCATCGTGTGTTGCCATTTACCGTAACTCCGACTTCCTGTCATCAAGAGGTTTCCTCCACTGTCACAATGTCGTGGTTTACCAAAATGTCTAATTCCCTAAAAATCTTTTTTGTCGTAATGTAAAAATTGTCAAATTCTCTAATTTCCTAATGATTGCTTGTCATAATATAAAATTGTCAAAAATCTCCTATCCACTAATGATTGAATGACATTATATAACATTGCCAAAATATCGATTTCACTAACGATTTTTTCCCGTAACCTAGGACTGGCAAGTCGTCTGGCTAATGAAAATATTTAAAAAAAAATTAGAACACATTTCAAGCTTGAGTTTGATGAAACTTTCTTACGCCATGAAGGACCACAAATTCATTATTGTCCAGATGCTGAACCTACGCAAAGCTAATTTAAACTACTCAATTTTATTCACTATATATTAGACACAGTTGATTATTTTAAAAAAATTCAGTATAGAACAAATTATATATGTATATATATATATATATATAGTTATATATATTTATATATATATACACTAGAAAGTACCTGGCATGCGTTGCAATGCAACTCAAAGAAAGAAAGTGTTTTCATTTTAATTATGGTTATTAATTAGCTTTCAAATACACAAAGTTTTTCTTGTTTTTCCGTCTGGTATATACACAAATAAATCAGAAGGTTTTTCCGACGCGAGAGCAGGACACATACATCTGTCCATGGGAGAAGCATGGGTTTTTTAAATTTAGTCCGTAAATTTGCAGCCATTGTCCCTGTGCTTAGTAGATAGTCATTGCAAACGCGTGTCGCACCGGAAACTGCAGGCGTTTGAATTCAAATGGCATCATTGAGATGCGTGGCAACAGTACATCACCTCGTTTAAATTTTCCATTTAAAATAGTAACTTCAATGGAACAAATTTTGGAAGATTTATTTGAACAAATGTACTTAATTCTTCGATATCAAAGTGCGTTTCTCGTTGCAAATCACCAGATTTTGTTTGCAGATCGATTCGGAGAGGTTATTCCCAATTCTACCAGTACTTTCTTAGAGATTGCTAAACATATGTTCATCAATCGGAACCAATGCCTCGTTATACACGTTTTTAATGTCCGGATTTTGATTCGTTGCACGCAAACGATGTATGATTTCTTCACTCATGTTAATTTTTGTATTTCTCCAAAAGATATTTTGGATTGGATGGAAAGAACGTTGTTAATATCATTGCAAACAAAGTGCGTATTTGCTGTGGTTGAGCAATATTCGATGCATCAGAGAGCGAGGTGTCCCAGTGCGCATCGTGTCCCAGAATTTTTAATTCTTGGCAAGTTTCACGATAAGTGGCACACACTTGAACTTTACTGTTGTCAGTTCTTGGACGGATGTTGGTCCACCCACGTTGATTAACAGAAATCGCCAATAAAAGCATTGTGCATTTTTTGGGTTAACGGTGTACAGACGACCCTATTGATATTTTTATAACTTATAATGGGAAAAATAAATTTGGCCCCTGGCCCCTGAGGGATTGATACTATGAGTTCAGTACCCTTGGTTATTTGAATATGGATAATCAAGTGCATGTTTGCTAAGTTTTGTCCAGATCCATCTATACAAGTAGAAGTATTTGTTGTTAATTTCATTTATAAAGTTTATATAAGGACAAAAACAACCGAATTGGTAGCCCCCCCCCCCCTTGTGAACATTTGTGGGTAGTGTTTCGAATTGAAACCTGCTCAACTTTTGTAAGTAAGCTGTAAGGAATAAGACTGCCGATTTCATGCTTCTATTTACCGGGGAAGTTGGAGAATATAGCTTATATAATAAAAAATTAAATGTCGCCCCGGCCCCAGGGATATGAATATTATGAGATCTGTACCGTTCGGTATTTTAATATGGATAGTCAAGAGTGCGTATACTAAGTTTGGTCAAGATCCATCTATTCATGTTGGAGTTCTAGGCCTATTATTATATATATTGCTTATAGATGGACAAATAAAATGGGGTCCTCGGCGACAAAGGGATAGATATTATGTGTTAAGTACCCTTCGGTATTTGAATATGGATAATCAAATGTATGTATATTAAGTTTGGTCAAGATCCATCTATTTATGAAGCAGTATTTGTTGATCATTTTATTTATATAACTCATATAGGGAAAAAAACGACGTTTTGGGCCCCCGGCCGGGGTACAGATTTTGTAAATGAAACCTGCTTATTTTTTGTACGTACGCTGTAAGGAATAAGTCTGCCAATTTCATGCTTCTGTCTACAGGGGAAGTTGGAGAATTAGTATGAGTCAGTCAGTGAGTGAGGCTTTGCCTTTTATTGATATATATAAATATATGTGTATATATATATATATATATATATATATATATATATATATTATATATATATATATATATATATATATATATATATATATATATATATTATATATATATATATATATATATATATATATATATACAAATATAAAAACTGTTATGTGCATGTTTAAACGAATCATTATTTTCTGACTTTGGAAGAATTTTGAGATTACTTAGTGCCTGAAATGTTTAAAACTATTTTTCTTAAAATGACGGGTAATAGTTCAGATTGTTTATAAAAGGAATTTTTGGTTAGAAGAGAAAACTGAAGAAATGAAGATGATATAATGTTATTATGTGGTACGAGATGTCAAGCAAGCGAGCGTCACGCGTGACGGTGTGAACTCAGATAAGAGGGTTAAATTTTTTCGGAGACGAATGTTATAGCAATAAATCAGGAGCCACGGGTATGGTGTAGGACTGTCTGTAGGACTATTGTTAAAAGACCGGCAGGTATTGTGTAGGACTGTCTGTAAGACTATTGTTAAAAGACCGGCAGGTATTGTGTAGGACTGTCTGTAGGACTATTGTTAATAGACCGGCAGGTAGGGTGTAGGACTGTCTGTAGGACTATTGTTAAAAGACCGGCAGGTAGGGTGTAGGACTGTCTGTAGGACTATTATTGAAAGACCGGCAGGTAGTGTGAAGGACTGTCTGTAGGCCGGCGTGAATTATAGAATTTGAGAAGTCTGTTTGGACCTACCGGGTATTTCCTGAAAAATCCCGGACCCGGTGTAAACAAACTGCATCCGGTTAAGCCCAGGTGTTAGATATAAACGCAAAAGCGCCCCCCCCCCTTTTTTTTCTGTCAACATATTCGCCCCTTTAAAGTGGAGGAAATGATTTGGCGAAATAGGTTATACATTGTTAAAACTAAGGATACACTTTTTTCGTCTGATGAATGTTAGTTTAAAAACTAAATACATCACCAAGTCCAAGATTGTGCTGCTTGTGAGCCCCCCCCTCCCACCGAAAAAAAAAAGACAAACAAAGCAACAAACAAACCAGCAAAAAAAAAAAGCAAGACAAACAATCTCAACAAAAAGCCAAGTGGCATCCTACATTTATCCAGTGACTAAACAAATTTGCATTTCATTTTTTGTAAAACAAAAAAAAAACANAAGCGCCCCCCCCCCTTTTTTTTCTGTCAACATATTCGCCCCTTTAAAGTGGAGGAAATGATTTGGCGAAATAGGTTATACATTGTTAAAACTAAGGATACACTTTTTTCGTCTGATGAATGTTAGTTTAAAAACTAAAAACATCACCAAGTCCAAGATTTTGCTGCTTGTGAGCCCCCCCCTCCCACCGAAAAAAAAAAGACAAACAAAGCAACAAACAAACCAGCAAAAAAAAAAAAGCAAGACAAACAATCTCAACAAAAAGCCAAGTGGCATCCTACATTTATCCAGTGACTAAACAAATTTGCATTTCATTTTTTGTAAAACAAAAAAAAAACACAAAAAAAAACACACCAAAACTTGAATCCAATTTATCTAGTTTGAAAACTGATTCATTTTCTCAAAATGATGACTTCAGTAGGATATGTATAGTATCCATTTTATGCTGATTGCACTGCGGTGCTCAATATATCGCAAACAAATATCGCACATATCATAAAGCTCTGAACTTTTCTTCTCAAAACCGAATTAAATATATTTGAAAATATTAATCTTGTTGCTTGTAAGACCTACACGATTTGCAAGTAGCTCAACTTTGTCCCTTTTGTTCAATTTGATAACACATGCTGATTACTCAACAAAAAATATTGCAACTGATCGAGAATGCCATGCCGACCTAAGATGTTATGAAACCGTTTCATTTCGACAAGGGGGGCCAAGGAAATAACCAAAGCAAACTTTTTAGATCATAACAATGGTTTCATTTGATTCAGGGCTTACGAGGCATGCAAGAGACTTTGGAAAACCGCTAATCTAAACAAAATAACATCTAAAAAAAAAAATTTACTAATCTAAACAAAACCACCAATCTAAGCATACCCCTAATCTAACAAAAGCAGTAAGTTAAACAAAACCACCAATCTAAACAAAACCACTGATTAAAACAAAACCACCAATCTAAACAAAACCACTGATTTAAACAAAACCACCAATCTAAACAAAACCACCAATCTAAACAAAACCACTGATTTAAACAAAACCACCAATCTAAACAAAACCACCAATCTAAGCATACCCCTAATCTAACAAAAGCAGTAAGTTAAACAAAACCACCAATCTAAACAAAACCACTGATTTAAACAAAACCACCAATCTAAACAAAACCGCTATTCTAAGTAAAACCACTATACTTGAAAAAAACCCACACATTTCATTAATCATAGCTGAATACGATTGTCATCTCCCCTAACGTCCACGCAATCCGTAACTGATCCCCCCCCCCTCCCCCCGCAAACCCGTTTTTGTTGACAGCTTCTTCCGAGTACAGACTAGAAGATCGCCCTTTTGATATGTCCCTCGCCGGCTGTTGCAACACTAAAAGCGCCCACTTGCTCGATGTTACCAGGCATTTGTAAGTGGTTCAAAGAGAGGTCCGATGGGATGAACATATTAACAATGTATGTAACCAAGCAAACAAGACCCTAGGGTTCTTAAGGCGAAATCTAAAGATTGGCAACTCCTGTGTGAAAGAAAGAGCATATAAAGCCTTTATCCGTCCGATTTTAGATTATGCATCTTCAGTCTGGGACCCATTTACCCAGAAGAGCATTGACAGGTTGGAGGCGGTCCAGCGACGAGCAGCACGCTTTGTCCTAAACCGCTACAGGAATACCTCAAGTGTTGGCAGCATGCTAGAAACACTAGGCTGGTCACCATTGGAGAAACGACGACGACAATCCAGGCTCTCCATGATGTACAAGATAAATAATGGGCTGGTCCACTGTTCCAGTATTAAACAGAAACTCGTACCTCTCCCCCATAGACAGCGACGAGGCCATGACAGGCAATTCAGGCTCATACCAGCAAGAAGCCAGTATAGGAGCTGCTCATTCCTGCCCAAGACAATCAGGGACTGGAACAATCTTTCAAAAGGAACGGTTGAGGCGACAACACTAGACACATTTGTGTCTATTGCCTCAAGCCTTCAAACCCCCAGTGCATGATTCCCTCACAAAGTGGCACTGGAAATCTGTGAAATTTCCTCATCAACACCAGGAACAGAAACATTGCAAATCCCATCTACATGCATAGGAGCCAAAATGATCAATAAATTGATCGTGGGCCCTTAAGATATAGAAGAAGAAGAAATGAAGGACTGCGTTGAGAGCGATGTGAAGGACATAGTAGAGCAAGGTAAAGTGGGAGCTTGAAATAAAATGACAGGACAATGAGACAAGAACGTTTCGGCAAAGCGATTCCACGTCTTTTCTACTGCTTCCTCCAGACAGCACGAACGCAGTCCTTCATTTATTGTCCTCTACTCTCTGACACTCGGCCGCTGCTATTTGTGTGTAACTGCCACGAACTTTTTAATCGTGAACACTTGAGTTGTTTTTTTTTTTAAACGTGTTTCTATTGCTAATCGTATTTCCATTTGCCCTGACTGCTGGGGAAGACAATTAGCCGAAACGTGCTTATCTTCTTGTCTTGTTTTTCGATTCAAGCTTCCATAATATACTAAATTCTACTGTTTCCTATTTTTAAGTGGTACGTCTTGCTAGACATGCTGACAATCTTTGGTGGTTCTTAGAATAAACTGACAGTTTAGGTAAGGGAGATAAAAGATAAAATACCTAAAATATCAAGTTATAAAATAGAAAAAAAGAAGCGATGCGAGTATGTTACATTACCAAACCGACTCATAATATGTGAACACAATATAGAATCGTGTACACACAAATACATATTTACAGACAAAGAATTCAAACTATATGACCACACAGATTGACACATTCTCATACACTCAATCGGAAACATTTACAGATACACATAGTCAGGAACATAGACAGACACATATACAAACATATTCACGGGCACATAGTCTAAAAACACACATGGACAGACACACACACATTTCGCGGACCTACTTTTTCCCACTTCGCATCACTGGATCTCTTGGTAAGGAATTTATAGAAACATAGTTTAATGTATGCCTGAACTGACAGCTGGTCAAAATCAGTATATAATCAGTTACGATCGTCCCAACCTTAATAACTTCCACGTGTTAGCATCTACCGTCGTCACACACAAACAACTCCCGCAGTAAGTACGTGTACTGAGGGCAGTAGGCTCCCTTTCGTCTAGGGGGGTTACATATATGGCATCATTCCGTCTTCGTGAGACGGTGGAGTAGCTATATAGCTCTACACTTTGAATGGCAATCACGGCTGCATCTCTCGCATCTAGGGGGTTACAATCACAGTATAAATCACAAACTCCAGTGTTACGACCTCGAGATCACCACCGTTCAATAGCCTAGTTGTCCTAGCGGGTACATCAACTACTTGACGAAACCTTTGATTCGTGTCAAATGTATTTCTATCAAACAAACAACTCCGAAATTCTAACACTCCGTTATATGTTGTTGTTCGTCAGTCTAAATCGACTAGGACCATCTAGTCATCCGGTTGGGGGGAGGGGGAGAGGAGGGTGGGTTGTTTAATTATATTACTCCATTTTATAATTACCATCCCCGCTATCCAAAACCATAAGGCTTCCCCATGCCCTTTCCTATACCCTCCACTAAAAACGTCAAAAAAGACCAAGCACATAGAAACAGCTACACAAATACTCTCCAGACCAAACACTTTTTCCATACCAAACATTCACGCACCTTGAATCTAGTTCACAAACTACAGTATAAAAGCAATCGATACACAACGAAGCAGTTTAAAATGTGTAGAGATGACGCTCTAAGAATAGTTCTCTCAACATTAAACAAAAGAAATGAAAGCGACATATTTGTTTTTTTAAACGAACGTGTCGCCTCTCTACTCACATCCGATGAGGAGATCTCTGATAGCGTTGAACATCTGCATTCTCACAGTGAAGCTGTGCACTCTGCGGATCCGGGACTTCAGAAGTCATCCACACAGGAACACACAACAACACACGAAAAAGTAGATTTGAGTAAATGTGGCTTAGTACAGACGCCTCCATGCACGGGTGTTTTGTATGCTATATTGATTTGTTTCATGCATTATGGGCGGAAATGAGACGCAACGGATAGGGAAGGTCACGTGGTTAGAGATTAGCGTACGGATTATATCGATGGCGGTTAATCTTTCATGTTTTTCATCGTTGATGGCCCGGGTGACGGGGTCGGTGAGGTTGCTGTATTCCTTTATAACGCAGAGGGAATACGACGTGATTAGTTAAGAAACAGGAGGAGATAGATCGCACGCCATGGAAAGGACTGACAGACATGGACAACCATAAGATAGATTGCATGACACGAACAAGGACTGACAGACATGGACAACCATAAGATAGATTGCATGCCACGAACAAGGACTGACAGACATGGACAACCATAAGATAGATTGCATGCCACGAACAAGGACTGACAGACATGGACAACCATAAGATAGATTGCATGCCACGAACAAGGACTGACAGACATGGACAACCATAAGATAGATTGCATGCCACGAACAAGGACTGACAGACACAAGCGACAGCTTTTACGACTTTTCATAACTCATTAGTCAATGACGAATTCCTATGGCGTTTTGATCCATCTGAATAACTAGTTCGTATCCGCCTACTTGTCAGTGGCGTAGCCAGGGTTAGTGCCGCCCGGGGAGGGACGCTAATTTTGGCATTTCCTTGCAGTAAAAATACACCGCTCTGGCCCCACAACCAATTTAAAAGAAATTAAACAACGCTAAAAACAATTTGTTTCGTATAAATCCTATTTATGCATTTTTAACATTATTTGATTTTTATATTGATATTCTAATGACCCACGCCACAAGTTTGTTTCACCCAAAAGTTAAAAAAAAAACAACAACAAAACAATTTATTATGCACCATACGCACTAGTGATATCTTTTGTTTACGAATCTAATTTAACGAAGTTGTCGAGAACTATTTTACGCAAAATCAGTGGCATCATATTTCTTTCTTCTGCCCCTTGAAAAAATAGGAAACACTGATTTTTGTTGGTTGGTGTTGGGGTTGTGTCTGAAAATTTGGAAGAATGCGTTGTCATCGGCAACAAGTCTATGTGCCATGTTTCAGGTCGGAAGGTCGACGGGAAAGTTGGCCATTAAGCCGTCCGAAGTTGTTGCCACTTGCCTGCCAGCCAGCCAGCCAGCCAGGCAGCCAGCCAGCCAGCCAGCCAGCCAGCCAGCCAGCCAGCCAGCCAGAAACGAAAGCGAAGTTAATATGAACTATTTTTTATAAAAAATGGGAAATTTCTCTTTAAGATAATCTGTAAGCTTGGTAAGTGTTTTGGAAAAAAAACAGAATGCACATATGAAACAATACATTCACATCGCTCGTAAGATTCTTTAAATTAACTTCACTTTTGTTCGTGTTTTTCTTTCTGGCTGGGTGGTAAAAATCTTCGAGCAGAAGACTGCCCAAACACATCCCACGATTTTCAATATATTTAAACCTAACTTCTACTAGAAGTTTACCTACATTATCTTTTACATTACACCTTTGGTCATCAAATTCAATCAAATGCTTTTCTATCCTCTGTTGCATGGTCAATACTGAACAGGTTATATCTAATGTTAGTTCGGGCACATAAAGTACATCATGCAAATTACATTCCTTGTATTTATTACCAGATAACTTAATTTTTTTTTTTGATTGACCATACCACACGCACGGGCTGTCTTGATTTATCCCATCTCCACGTCCAATTTGCTAAGAGGCTCTTCCAAGTTCGACAAAAGGAAAAATTAAGATTTCTTGCAACACAAGTGACTTGTTCCTCCTGAGTCAACAATCCAATTCTCAGCGTCAATGACTAGTTAAAACATGCCCCACTAACAGTCCAACGCTGTCATCACGTGAGTTTGAGACTCTTAGTATCTCTGGCCTCATTGCGACGTGTCTTATGCTGTCTATATATCTCTTTGTTTGTTTATTGTCTTTTTTTATAGTAGTTCAGATCAATCTCTTCTACTGATAACATTGGGGTCCCTTCTTTCTTTTCTTCTCTTATGACAAAAGTGCTCTACTTGTTACTTTATCTCCTCGACGTGATATCTTTCTCTCTTCGTGAAGCAAACTCTAAGTTACAAATTACATCTTTTGGAACTTCTTAGCAGGACAAGAGAGCAGTTACCAACACATTGTAGGTGTTGAGAATGGTAGGAAGTAGGTGAAACACCATGTGTTCTTCAGTAACGACGTCTCCTAATACTGCAATGTCCTTGAAAGTTATCGATAGGAGGTTAAATGTTTTGACGCACACGATCCCCATCGTTCATTCTAAGTGTCAGTAATCTTCTTCTTAGCGCCAATCTGTTAGCCCATGTCTTTTAAAAAGAAATAAATCCCACATATCTTTCACAGAGAATCTTACGTTCAACTGATTTCCCGATTAAATAAAGTGGTGAAGTGTGCAACGCTGACACAATGACAGTCACAAATTTCATCCTTTCTTTTAATAAATATATCAAGCTTTTCCGACACTACTGCATCAGATACATATTCAGACACAGTTACAACCCTTCCCCACCCCCTTCGTCCAGCGCCCCCCCCCAACGATTCCACTCCTCTTCAACGCTAACTGGAAAAAAAAAATTCCAGGTTAATAATTTGCAGCAACAAGAAGAATGATGCTTGCGTTCATGTTTTTCGTGTTCTGACGATTCTCCGAAAATTGTTCCCAAATTCAAATCAACCAACAAATTGCGTAGAATGCGAGGCCACGTAAGGCAGGATCCAAGCTCCGTGGGACAAAAACCTTTTCAAGTGATTTTACTTCTAGGTTTGTTTTCACAGCAAAGATACTTAAATCAGCAGAGAACAATGTCAAGGTCGACAACGTTTTATTTTTGAGTGACAAAAAAGCGTGACGTCACAACACAGGAACTACACGCTTGCCGGGTGAAACAGTTCCTTTTTTTTCTCTTACCATTTTCAATTTTGTCATGCTCATCACGTGGACCATTAGTTTGCCCATGATCAAGCTTTATTTATTTTAACATGTATTGTTAATTAAAATAAAAATAGTTTTCATTTGCATCTACCTCAACACCTAAAATCTCCACTACAATTAAAAGTATACTGTAATTTTACAGAAAGATGATAATTAATACCCCACCCTGCTTTAAAAGTTGAACGATTTTTTTTTTCTAAAGTTAATAAATGGAAATTTGAAACAGATTTCCAACTTTTGATACTTAAGATGAGAAACGTTTCTTTATGCATCCAAACAAATGGAAATTTTTAGCTACTTTGCAGCATTAAAATTTTATAATTAAATTATCTACAAAAGGAGATTTTTTTAAAACAACGAATGCGAAGGAAATCTCGGTTTAAAGAAGTTAAGTTTTGTACTAAGGCTTAAAACTAAATTTTAAAAAAAAGTAAATTGGACCTCAAATTTACTCAACCGTAATGCAAGGACAGTGTGCAAATATATTTACAGAAATATTTTGAGCATATTGATGCTAGAAGTCCTGCAACAAAAAACACTTTGAACATAGTACAGCCAGTCCTGCAGTTAAACATAACTTATTTATATTATGAATACAAGAAGTCCTGAGATTCAAGAGAACACATTAAACATTTAAATGCAAGAAGTGTGTCACTATAAGAGGAACAATGGCAGATCTCATGCAAATGGAACGGTTATCAAATACCAGGTATTATGTTCGAAGCGAAAACTGTCCACTGATAGGAGCGAAACGTGACACGTGACACCAGACAGCACGTGACCATAGGTAACGTGACAACTGATACGAGTGTTTGTCACAGACAGGGTGTTTTGGCGGGCCGAAACAATGCCGTTCAGAGCTTAAATCTGTAGAGGTCTGGGTTGACTACGGAGATAGCAAAGAAAGCAACAGACGCCATTCAGCTATAGAACGAGTGATGATAAGTGGACGGTTATTCTTTCTAATAAAGCAAGTTGGTTCTTCTATATTATATACTAGCCAATATACCTGTCGTTGCACGGTATTGTATTAAGACCCCCTCCTTATGTGACCCCGATCCCATTTGGAACCCTAAATCCCATTCGGACACCGATCCCGGCGCGGTCCCGTTTCCCGGTTTTATCCCGATCAATTCAAGGTTGGGATCCTGATCCCGGTGGGATTCCTTTTTCTGGTGGGATCCTGATCCCTTTGGGATAAAGATTATGTTGGGATCCCGACCACTTTGGGATCCCGTATGCGGTCGGGATCCCGTATAAAAAAAGTTACTCAGTTTTACTGAGAGTACAGTAAAATCCGGCACAGTATAGAAATGAATAGAACTAACTAAAATTTCATTATCCCTTAGATCCCACTATATATTCCCTTGGAACAGTTTAGAACTTTCTGGAACAATCTAGATTAAATTTAATAACTTGCTCGAAACATGTGTGAATCTACTTTTCTAATTATTTTTTTTAAAGACGATAAAAATCTTCAACAAATACAATAATTACAATTATTTTTCTTTTAAGTTAATCATGGGGCCTCAGGGGGCCCAGTCCATAACTGTACCTTTTAGCTTTGCCTGAGATCGGGGGCCCTATAAATAATCAGACGGATAAATAATAGAGTTAAAATGTAAAATTTGTCCTATTTAAATCTACATAAAAATGCCATAGCTATAGCTTTTTTTTAAATTATCGAATTTTCTGGAAAATTCTAGATTAGATATTATTAGTTTTAAATCCACCGATATTTCAATACGGACTAAGTAGCCTAATGAACAAAGCTAGGCTCAGATCCATAAATTCACATAATATCTATACCGTTGTCAAACCCTATTGATATTCATTTAGCTTATATTAGAAAAATGAACTTGGCCCTCTGCCCCAGAGAAATGGATATTATGACTTCAGTACACTTCGGTATTTGAATATGGATGATCACTTGTATGTTTTATAAGTTTAGTCAAGATCCATCCATTCATATAGGAGGAGTATTAAGCCTATTGATATTTATATAGCTTATATAAGAAAAATGAAAGTAGCCACTCTCTCTTTGGTGTGGTTGTTTCTATTGCGCAAATAACACACTCTCTGCTTCAGGAAAAGCCATTGGCGTCCACGATTTCTGCCCTACTTCCCGGTAAAACATGGCCGCATGGCATGCTCTTATCACCAGTTATTTCGCCGATCTATACACTGCCCAGCGGCGTGCCACTTGTTAGCGCCACTCTTGCGGTATGTACACTCCCCAGCGGAGTTCCTAGTGTTAGTGCCACCCTATAAACTCTTCACTTGTCCAAACGTGCTGTCACCCAATATAAAGGAGAACAATGAGTCCTGGGGAGACCCCCCAACCGCCCCCCAGCGCACCCCGCCCCCCCACCCCAACCCACCCCACACATGATCTGTACATGTGTCATTGTTCGCTGCACATTGTGGCGTTCTCACCTGCATATTTACCACACGCGTTGCTAGAGGCATCGGGGGGTGTGCAGAGCGTCTGCTGTCGATCTCAGATCTTAAATTTGTTCATTTCTGGAGAAGTGACCCTTTTCTATAGACTACCACTTTTGAAGAAGTATCATTAATAGTGCCATCAGGTGAGTGGAAATAAATATAAAATTTCATGAATAAATAACCTATTGACTAAAGGGTTGGGGGGGGGGCGAAGTTTGGTTGATATATAAGATTTTTCGGACAGATAAGTATGCAGACAATGGTGGGGGCCTCTCGACAGAATGGGTACTTACACTAGAGACCGACCGAATTTCGGCTTCGGTTTCGGCGAACGCTTCTCACAGCTGCATGATCACTTACTTGTCCCATATTTCCAAAAAATGTAATTATGTAATTTCAATGAGGCAAAGGGAAAGTAAGCAGTTTTTTGTAAAAAACAAAAAAACAAACAAAAAAAACCCAGGGGAATGGTGATTTTAAAAATAATTATTTTTGTGTTAAAATTTTATCACCATTTGGGACCCTAGGTTTATTCAAATCATTCATTTTTTAGTTATGTTTTGAGTTGTCCTTATCTTGATCATAAATGTGACCAATGACAAAGTTAAATTGTGTTGTGAAAAAAAAGTCTGGTCACCTTTACTTTATATTTTTTAAATTATACTTTTATTTTTTTAATTATGTATTAATATGTACTCATGCAGATATAACTATTATGATGTTGTTAATTCTTATCAAATAATTTATTTAATGTCTCTTAACACACATTTTATAGCCTAACTTTTATATCTCACAATTTTAAACAATTCATTGACTATTATGTCAATACTTTTACACTTCATTTGATTATAATTATTATTATTGATCATAATTGATCAAATTGATTATAATTAAGGACTAAAGCCTAATACTAAATAACACTAGACTTGAAGACTAAAATTATAAGTAAAGACACACATTAAGTAGGCTAAGTATTAAATATTAAATGAACGTCACAATTAATTTTTTTTTTTTTAATTAAATATTTAAAAAATAAATACTAACTTTAATTAGGCCTCTAATAATGTTGTTGTAGTAATAATAATATAGTAGCATACTATTATTATCCTATTGTTACACACTGACTTGTATTGGGAGAAATTAATCTCCTATTTTAATTTTAATTGGCTCGTTGTAAACAGTGCCTAACAAAGGACGATACCATATAATCAACAATATTAAAGATACGACCCAAAACAGTTTCTAGTTACAATTAATTAAGATTTATTAAGTCTTAAGATAATTACAAAATAAAATAAAATAAAATTACAATCTTCAACTTACAGTATGGCAGATGTCGTACCGGTACACAGTTAATACAATTAGAAATAATGATGCCAATAAATAATGCGAAATAAACACATATAAGTAGGAGCACACAAATACACAAAGAATAAAACACGCCTCGTAATGTTAAGAAAATCTATCTGAAATCTCCGTCCCTCGTCCGTGCCTGTCAATCCCTTATATAGGTGGGTCTACCGACGCCCAAGCCCTGCCTTCGAGACATTTCGAGAAAAATCCCAATCATTCTACCAAATACTATTTGGAACAGATTAATTATTTTTATTCGTTGGCGACGTCAACAAGTTACTTCAAAGGCCTAAGCCACACCCCTTTGTGAACACAGCGTCTCATGCGGGGTCAATCAGAGGGCACGCACGAGAAAATATGATGTAAACAAGCTCTCTATAACACTATATATTATAAACCTACTATTACTTTTTTTTTTTTAAATATCGTAAGCATAGTAATAGTTACAGTAGGTGGAGAAGATGTTGGTATGTCAATGATCTCTGTTTACTAAAAATAAATATTTAAAATGTTTGGATTTATTCATAGAAATAAATCTTGCAGGCGAATTGTGTGATCCAGCTATTCTATAGAATGCCGAGTCAAAGTGTGAAATGCATAAGCCATTATACAAGTTGCCTACGCATTCTATAGACCGGCTGCATTACACAATTTGATTGTAATGGTTTCTGGTGAGGATCGAAAAAAGTGTAACATTTATTTTTTCCGCTAATAAAGTGTGTCTGTGTGTTTGTGTGTGTGTAATGATAAGCTAAAATGGCTAATATCCAAATGGAAAAATGGTAAATTAACAATTTCAAAGTTAGTTGCCAATCAAGCATGAATGGTAAAAAGATATGTTTGTATCTCATTAAGTTCAGTTGGCTAAAATGAGGTAGTTAAGTAATTTTTTAGCTAAAGAGGGTTAAAGTATAACACAAAAAATAGGAAAATTGGGGAGGGAGGTGTCACTGCCATGAGTAAATGGTATGACAGTCACATAGACGAATAAATATTGACCCAAAAATCTTTCCGTCCTCTCTCGCGGTGCACCGAACGTATAGGAAAATGAGTTTTGAAATAGTTAAGGCCTTAGATTTGGGCTTCGGTTTCGGCCTAAAGGTCGCGTTAAACTTTTGGTTTTGGCTTTGGTTTTGACCTAGAGGTCTCGTTAAACTTTTGGTTTTGGCTTCGGTTTCGACCAAGAGGTCTCGTTAAACTTTTGGTTTTGGCTTCGGTTTTGGCTGAAAGGTGTGGTTAAAATGTTGCCGAAAGTCATTTTTTTAAAAACTTTCGGTCTGTTTTCTGTTTCGTCCGAAGTCAGATAATCACTTTCGGCCGGTCTCTAACTTACACTAATAAAATATTGATCCTTTTTTTAAAAACAGCTTTAGTCTTTATATTTCTTAAATTAAGCCAACAGTCAACAACAACAAAATTTGAAATCAAAATTCAAAATAATTAATCGACGAAAAATTACGAAGCGGTGGGGCGCTTAAAAAGGGGAGAACCGCCCATGAGATTATATTAACACGGCCTACGGTGACTTTGCTTAAACTAGGAATTTAGATTTGGTACAACTTTCTTACAGCTCGAAGTTTAAAAAAAGCTTAAAATTGATTAAACAAAAAGTGTACAATTTGTACGTTTTAATTTATTAAAATTAATGTACTATTTGTTATCGCAGATGTTTTGCAGTTTTTTTTACCCCTCACTCTTCTACAATCTAAGTAGCCCTACACTACTACAGATATCTCGCCATACAATATTAAAACTATGTAGTACCCAATTCTCCAACAAAATTATGTTGCCCAACTCGTTTAACAGCTATCTTACCCCTTTTTTTTCTGCAGCTTTGCGGCCGTACCTTACTACAGCCTTGTTGCCCTACTCTACGGCATCTATCGCCCAACTACGGTGCAGATAGGTCGCCTCCCTTCTTCTACCAGCGACGTTGTCCCTTTCTTCTATAGCTGTGTTTCCTTTTTCGTTGCGTTTTCTTGCTGTCGAATACGTTTCTAAAGCATTTTGATTCATTTGAATAAATTACAATAAAAAAACCCAAGAAAACGCAACCGACATCAAACAACCGTCCCCCTTTTGGATTTCCCGGAACATGGAGCTGAGCTGAAGAAAGGATCTGGAGCTTACAAAGGAATATTCGAACCGAATCTCAGACATAAAAATTCGGCTTCAAATCCCTAGCATAAAGTTTTTTTCCTTAAACACAAGTTTATGAATAAAACATGAGTGTGGGTGGTGAACATTTTATTTTTTCCAATTCATATTTTGGGGTTGGGGTATCCAGGGGGAAGGGGGTTATGAAATATTTATTTTACGCAAGGATCGCCTTTATGCCTTAGGTTTAAATTTGGGTAAAAAATGAAATTGATTAATAAATGTTGAAATTTCAAAAGTTCCAAATAGAGCCAAAGACTTCCAAACACTTTAATATCGAATTTAAATTGGTCGTCAACATTTTTTTCTTGATAAGGATCGATAAGAATGTCTTGTCTTGTTGTTTTTTGTTTTTTTTGGTAGCCGTATTGATCGGGCTAAATTCAATGTGTCCTTCAGGCAGACGTGTCAAATGGTGTTGCAAACTCCGCTAAGAAGAATCTCATCTCAGTCCAATCCAAATTCTTCTGAGCAATGGATTTGTCTACCTCTCTTTGATATTGGTATCCGGTGGTGTTTTGAAAACTCCTATTTCCGGTAACAACACTGACGATCACTTAAAGTTTTTAACGATACTCTTATGTCATGTCATCTTTTCATCTATCCTATCTGCCGAGGAAGGCTGTTAGCCGAAACGTCCTTTGCTTAATGTCCCGTCTTTTGATTTAAGCTTCCACAAACCTTGTCCCGCTATTTCATTCACACAGCTTTGAACGCAGTGATTTATTATTGCTTTTCCCATGCATGCTGTACTTAGTATGCGTGTAGTCAAATTCTTCTGTTACTTCAAACTCTCCACTGACACCGCGGGCGCAATAACGTGAAATTTCCTTCCGGATGTGAGCCACCTTCCGCTGTTGGCTTGCTGCTGGTTTAAGGTATTGATCAACCGTACAAGTTTACTACAATATATTTTTCATGCCTTACTTAGAAAACTTTATTTCTTTTTTTTCCCCTCTCTCTACACAGGAAAAATAATGCTTTCAAAGGACAAAACACTGTACTTGCTGGTTATGATATCTGTCGGGTTAACTCTGTTCTGGTGGAGGTGAGATTTTTTAGGTTTTATTATACAATGACATAAAGGCATAAATAAATATTTTAATACTCAAATCTCCTTCTAAATTAAAAAAAAATTGCTCAAAGTTGTATAATGAAATATTTATAAATATATTACTGACTTATGTTGGGGTCGTTGTTTTGAATATTATATACTTTTTAATAAACAAATTAACATAGATCATCCATATGTATGCTTTACATTTAACGATATAATTTTAATGCTAATGAATTATCCTGTTATATATTAATGTTTCCTATATGAATTGAAAGTTATTTCAAGGTTCCTTATTTTTTTATTTTTTTAGTACAATTCAGATTATATTAAGTTGCTAAATAAAGCGATAGCTAAATATTTTTTTAGTCTAACCCTAGACACGGGTCAAAACATTTTTAGTTTATACTAACTTGAGATATTAAACTTTCAATATTTCTGGAAATGTTGTGTGTACAATAATTTCACAATTGCGAATCTCTGATACAATAGTTTTACTACAATTAATCAATTTTACAATGATTGACCATTAACCCCGATACCAAATTTTCCAAATAAACTCCAATACAGTAGATTTATCATAAACTCCATTACAATTATTTCACCATAACTTATCTCTGATAAAATAATAAGACTATAATTAATACAACAGAAATTCTGATACAATAATATCCCCAATAACTATAAAACAATAATTTTATCCATAAACTCCGATACCAAAATTTTGTCATAAACTCGGATACAATAATTTCCAAAAAAATAAATTTTACCATTTTGGCTAAATGGTGTATGTTACACAATGTAGATGTGTAACTTTCGTATCATTTATCCCCAGCTGGTGTCTAGATGTTTTATTTAAAAGACAAATCAACACAGAAGACACGTATTTTCGCTAAAAATACACCTATGTTTAATTCGAAAGAAAGCCTACTAGCAATTTCATTAAAGTGAAACGAGCCTATTTATTTACGTTCAATTTCAAACGCTCCAATGAAATCAAAATGTAAAGAGCAGTCAATTAAAGGGCTAAAAGTAACGCATTAGATTAACATTTCCAAATAATCTTTTGCAACTTAGGTTCAAATGACTATGGGTATTGGCCTCCCGTAATAAATTAACATTTCATAACCCTTGCAGAAAATAGTAGAACAAGGTATGTGGAAGCTTGACATAGAAAGACAGGGGGATAAAAGAAGACGGTTTCGACTAAGAGCCTTCCTCGGGAGGCAGGACAAATAAAAAAAGAAAAAAACAACAGTAAAAAAAACTGAGTTATCGGCAATTGTTATTGCCGGAAGTTGGGTTTCTATTCATCGCCAAGAAACAATGCATTGTATTAGGACAAATATGTTCTGACCGTTTATAAGTTACTAGAATAAATGACCCGATTTTATCGGGATAATAACGATAGTTCCATTTCAATAACTTCTACCTGCCATTGCAAAAACTCATCACAAATCCTTACTTTAAAAAGAAGTATCTGTGCAATAATATTTACGTTTCAAACATAATTAAGTGTTGAAAAATCTGTATCTGTTATATATTATACCCTTACCCTACTCTCTTTCACGCCCCTAAATTATTTTTTCCACCTTCTTCTTCTTCTTCTATATCTTAAGGGCTCACGATCAATTTATTGATCATTTTGGCTCCTATGCATGTAGATGGGATTTGCAATGTTTCTGTTACTGGTGGTGATGAGGAAATTATGCACTAGGGATTCTTCTTCTTCTTCTATATCTTAAGGGCTCACGATCAATTTATTGATCATTTTGGCTCCTATGCATGTAGATGGGATTTGCAATGTTTCTGTTACTGGTGGTGATGAGGAAATTATGCACTAGGGGTTTGAAGGCTTGAGGCAATAGACACAAATGTGTCTAGTGTTGTCGCCTCAACTGTTCCTTTTGAAAGATGGTTCCAGTCCCTGATTGTCTTGGGCAGGACATTAAATTAGCTAGACGAACTTATAACCAATTATATCACTTTTGTCACTAAAGAAGTTAATTGAGTGACGATTTCTACGCTAGAGAAATAATCTAGAATTACCCCTTTTCATGAATTTAATTTACATTTTTTTTCTAAAAAAATTGGGGGAAAAACATCATAAATAATAATGAGATATAGATTATATTTAATACGAAATGAATTTGATATATTGATATCTTCATTAAAAATGTAAACACATTTTTTCCTTGTTTTTAAAAAAAAATTATACACTATCAGAAAATCGTAAAATAAAGAATTCTTTTATCTAAAGAAGAAACTCGCATCATTGTTCACGCCTATAACAGACTTGAGTGTATTTTTAAAAAAAATAAAAATTGTTAATCTCTTAAAAAAACCAAACCTGATTATTTTTTGCAAAGTAAAAACACTAATATGTTTTCATTTTTTGAAAGTAAATACTAACCCATCTCTATTTTTCAAAATTAATTTTTCAAGTGTGTAAAATAATTGGGTTTTGATATTCATGGATATACTTATCTAAATGTACCCACGATTCGTTAACGCCTTAAACATTTTTTTAATTGGTAACATCTCTTTTTTTCCACCAATGTAATAACATAGGAGTTAACTATATTGTCATCCACTTAAATAATGTACACATCTTATTTCCTACCTCCGACATGTATTTACCCAAGAAAATTAAATATTTATCCAATTCAATCCTTTATTTTAAGACTTTTTTATGCTGCTTGGGGCAAATGATCATACACATATTTGTAAAAAGAAAATGTAACATTTTTTTCTCAAAAAATATATTACCCTAGGATTTAAATATATTTTCATCCACGTGAAAATGTACACATCTTATTTCGTACTTCCGATATGTATGTACCCAAGAAGGCTAATTTTTTATCAAATTAATTCCTTTATTTTAAGACATATCTTGTGCGGCTTTGGACAAAATGAACATACCCATATTTGTAAATGATAAATGTAGCCTCTCTTTTTTCACAAATGTAATACCATATGATTTAAATATATTGTTATCCGCGTAAAATGTACACATCTTATTTCCTACCTCCGATATGAATGTAAACAAGAAGGTTGATTAGTTATCAATTCATTCCTTTATTTTGAGACGTATCTTGTGCTGCCTGTGGCAACGTGACCAAAACCGGATTAAAATATAATGATACAATCTTCCACAGGATTGTAGTCCCTTCCATACCCAAACGAACATATTTTGCACTTCATATGTTTCGTTCTTTTTTGTATGAGTTATAAGTGGATTAGTGAATGCTATTTTGCTTTGGAGTTGTGCTGCACTGATTGCCTTAAACGGCATTTTCTAAATAGAAGTATATTTAAAGGTTACGTTTTTATTATGTTATAACTTTAATAAAAGTATATGTTCGGAATTAAAAAAGTAAAACTTATTAAATGTTAAAAATACAAATCTAAAATGTTCGTGTGTTTTATTATCAATTTAAAGAGCACGCAATTAAATTTATACATTTTACTTTTAAGAAGGGGGAAATAATTCATCAGTTTGTAACGCCCGGTTACTAAATCAAAGAAACTTAAGAATTTTGGCTAACATTAGCGATTCGCGTTATGACGTCATTTGCGTGTTTATTAAGAAGAAATAAATTTTAATTTTATTTCGCAATAGTAATAGCGCACTAAAAACACAATTTAAAAAAAACAACAACTGATGTTTGGATTTTCCCTATAATTGTGATTACGATGTCATTATTAGATCATAATTTTATCATGAATGTTTTTTGTTGGATAATTTTTTAATTCGGATAAACTGCTTAAAATAGCTCCTAAGTTGTTAATTTAAATGTATTTGTAATTTTTAATAACAATGCTGAAATTTTTACTAAAATAGAAGCGGATTTAAAATATTTTTTGCGCATTTAAATGTGTTCGATTTCCATAAAATAATCGAAAATAACTATGATTGTTTTATTGGGATCCGAATGTACTTAAATCGTGTTCGGTTCTTTGGCGTTATGTCACGATAAATCATTTTAATATGATTATTATAATCAATATGAAACAAGCAATGATTCGCATGGATCTATCATTCAATGAGGTCACTTCAGTGTTTGGAGTGGGACCTCCTCTCCACGTATTCTTAAGTTTTATAGCGGGGACGAAAGTGAACTGCCTGTCTGTACGTTTTGTGGAAAGCCTTTCCAGCTGTACGTTGTGGATAGCTTTGCCACCTACACGTCGAGGATAGCCTTTCCAGCTGTACGCTGTGGAACATCCGAGAGGTATATGGGTGTAGATCCTTTGAACCTGGCAGGCTCACGATTTGGTAGGCAGAGGTATAGACATGAGCGGACTCCTTTGAATCAGGCACCAGAAATTATATTCAAATCCAGCTGCTTAGATGGTTTGTTGTAAAGCAATCCCGCAAACAGGCTAAAAGATGTCAGAAATAGGAAGACAAAAACCTTTCCTAATGGTCATGAGCTGAGATGTCTGAACTCAAAAAAAAAAAAAAAAAAGAAATTCAGATCGAGACATTGTAGGGAGAATGAGCTTTTACATAAAAAAACCTTTCCTAATGGTCATGAGCTGAGATGTCAGAACTAAAAAAAAAAAAAAAAAAAAAGAAATTCAGATCGAGACCTTGTAGGGAGCATGAGCTTTTACATATAGATCATCCAGTATTTGGACAACGTAGTTTACCCTTAGTATCAGCACAATCATGGGTGTCTGGCACAGACGTTGGGCAAAGGTTTTCCGAATCAAAATAATCTAAGCGAATTATAAGATAATACATATGTTGATGTAATACGTCCCGCTATTTTATTGACACGAAGCATGAGATAAAAAATATCTAAAATCTATTTAACCACCAGTTAGTTAGGAATAAAGTTTTAGTGTAAATAATTGTTTAAAAAAAAAAAAAAAAAAAAAAAAAAAAAAAGTGTGTCCGGCTTGGAGTCTTTGTTCACCAAAACAATGAAATTATCTCCCGTTACACATCTGCAATGTACCGACAATCCAAGCCTTTAAAACTGCATTCAATGCTAATCTCTTCAAACTCTACTTTTCCCACACATTCTCACCCCTCAACCGACTGATAAACAACGCTCAATTCTGCTGAGTGCCGTCCATGGCTAAGACAAAAGGATACAGTTCTTGGGTGGGTGATGTCAAGCTTTTCACCAATTGTTGTATTTAAATGTAAACGTTTCTTAATTGCCAATTTTTATGTGAAGCGCAGCGAGCCTAGTCCTAGTCTGGGATACTGCAGTGAGCCTGGCCCTAAGCAGGGGTACTGCAGTGAGCCTGGACCTAAGCTAGGGTACTGCAGTGAGCCTGGTCCTAGTCTGGGATACTGCAGTGAGCCTGGCCCTAAGCTGGGGGTACTGCAGTGAGCCTGGCCCTAGGCTGGGGTACTGCAGTGAGCCTGGTCCTAGTCTGGGGTACTGCAGTGAGCCTGGCCCTAGTCTGGGATACTGCAGTGAGTCTGGCCCTAAGCTGGGGTACTGCAGTGAGCCTGGCCCTAAGCTGGGGTACTGCAGTGAGCCTGGCCCTAGGCTGGGGTACTGCAGTGAGCCAGGCCCTAGTCTGGGATACTGCAGTGAGCCTGGCCCTAGTCTAAGATACTGCGGTGAGCCTGATGGGGTACTGCAGTGAGCCTGGCCCTAAGCTGGGGTACTGCAGTGAGCCTGGCCCTAGGCTGGGGTACTGCAGTGAGCCTGGCCCTAGTCTGGGATACTGCAGTGAGCCTGGCCCTAGTCTGAGATACTGCGGTGAGCCTGGCCCTAGTCTGGGGTACTGCGCCATATAAAGCCACCTAATAATAATAATTAATATAACAAAAATTAAAATAATAATGTCCGTATTGCCGCAACATAATGATAATACTTATTAGTTTTTACAAGATTCATCAGTGATCGAAATAAGTAAAGCAATATTACTTAAAGTCATGGTATAAATGTATTGATTTAAAACGATCAAAAGTGGCGACTGCAACGTTGTATGCATATTTGAGGCAGATTTTTTCATGTGTCTTTTTTTTCCTTCTATATATTAATGGCACACGATCAATTTATTGATCATTTTGGCACATTTGCATGGAGAGGGGATTTGCAATGTTTCTGTGCCTGGTGTTGATGAGGATTTTTTCACTGGATACAAGGGCTACTTTCTGAGGGTACCATGCACTGGGGGTTCGAAGGCCTGAGGCAATAGACGCAAATATGTCAAGTATTGTCATCTCAACAGTTCCTTTTGAAAGCTTTTTCCAGTCCCTGATTGTCTTTGGCAGGAATGAGCAGTTCCTATACTGGCCTCTAGCTGATATGAGCCGGAACTTCCTGTCATGGCGTCGTCGCTGTCTATGTGGGGGGGGGGGAGGGACGAGTTTCTGTTTAATGCACATAATTTTTATCTTCTACATTATGGAGAGCCTGGATAGTCGACGTCGCTCCTCCAAATGGGACCAGCCTAGTGTTTCAAAGGTTGATGATATTAGAAAGAACTCGATTGCGTTTGACCACGACAAATAGCTACAATTGGGGCGGGCGGGGGATGTAACTATTGGCTGACCTCAGTCTAGAGGGTTATCTTTGCCACTGGCATGACTTGAGTGAGCGTGGTCAATATACCTCGCGAGTTAAGCTCACCCGTGACAAAAAGGGCGTGGAAGAAGGTTACTGCCATCGTTTATTTTCAAAATAATTTCTTTTACAATAATTTCACAATAGTTTGTGATACGTTAATTTCAACATAATTTCTGATATAATAATTTCAAAAAAGTTTTTCATACGATGATTTCAATATAATTTCTGATACAACAGATTCACAATAGTTTTTCATACGATAATTTCACCATAATTTCTGATACAATAATTTTACAATAGTTTTTCAAGCGATATTTTCAAAATAATTTCTGATACAATAATTTGACAATAGTTTTATTATGATAATTTCACCATAATTTTTAATACAGTAATTTAAAAATAGTTTTTCATGCAATAATTTCAACTTAAATTCTAAAAAAATTATTTCATTATAGTTTATCATATGTTAATTTCAATATAATTTCTTAAATAATAATTTTGCAATAGTTTTTCTTAAGATAGTTTCAACATACTTTCTGATACATAAATTTCACTGTAAAGTATGATATAATAATTTTACCGTACATTATGCCATATTTTCAACATAAAATACGATAGACTAATTTCACCATAAATTATGAAACAATAATTACACCATAAAGTATGTTACTATAATTTCACAATAAAATATGATGCCATAATATCATTTAAAGTATGATACAATAATTTCATAATACTTTCTGGTTTGTAAAAGATAAAAAATTACGGGACGAAGAAAAACTTTCCAAACCGTGAGTTACAGATACCTAAAGTGGCTGATTAGATACAGCCATAACGTAATCGATTTGGCTCCGGAATATCGCTTAATCGGGGCGGTGGTCGCTTCATGAAACAGACTGAAATTTAATTAAGGATACACGCAATGACTTAGCTTGCATGCTAAAAATTTAAAAAAAAAAATGAACTTTATGTAGTCAGTCGTCAGAAAAATATGTAGACATATTGTCCTAGGATTGGGAAAAAGGGGCGGGGGAATATCCCATTCATTCGCGAGTGCAAGTGGTAAATTCAACTCTTCGACTCCGCAATTTTCTTGATAACAATCAACTCTTTAGATAATGATTCATTTTTTTTTGTCAACAGTAACGATGGCAAGTCTTATGTCCATATAATCTCCACCCCGAATGGTAAGTGAGAATATATATTTCAAAATTATCAGTAGAGATACATTTTTTCTTCTAAATATCAGTAGTTTTGCTAACGTTCCTTCTTTATTACGTTGAGCCCCTACTTATGTAATGTTTGCTAACGAACTATTTTAAATTAACTTAATTTTCATCCCTTTGATTAGACACACTGTATGTGTGCAGTAAAGAATTCGTTAGGTATGATGTCATGGTGTTTTTTGGGGACGCGTTAAAAATCATTTAAAGTTGTTTTATTTTGTGGTTTTATTTTTGGCTCACAAGTTGAGCATTTCCCACTGGAGAGTTCGCCGGACGTATTTTTTTTTTAAAAGACGACTGCTGCCTGGCATTCTAGCTATATGCCTTGCCAATCCAGCTCTTCCTTTAAAAATTAGAAATAACACATGGACGCTGACAAATTCAGCATGTTGTATGAATTCTTTATCAGGTACCCTTTCAACGTTCATGCACATTTAACTTATGTGAAAGTTTTGATTATTTTTTAACTTTAATCGGCTTCGTCTTAGAAAATATAAGTACATTAAAAAAAAAGATGTAAACAAGATCACTACGCCCATAGCCGTTGCTAAAATTTGAAATTAGTTCCACCCTTTGCGGACTAAGCTTGTTTGCTGCCTCCTCCACGAAAATCTCTACAGGTGGACGAAAATAACGAACAAATGGGGCCCATCACAGGCCGATGCTCCCCCCCCCCATCCGCACCCTTTTTATGCGCCTTTTTATGTCATTAAGAAAATTCAAGATTTTGAAAAGAGCTTTTTAGAGCATTAAAAAAAAATAATTTCTGAGACCATGGCATTCAATAATTTAAGTCCAATTTTTTTTCCACAGCATACAGTTCCTACACAGGTATTTGGCCGTCGTTGGCAGGCACAAATATAACACTGGATGAGATTGAGGATAAGTTTAACAGGTGTGTTAAACACCCTTATTTAGGGGAGATTATCGGATTAGATTATCTATATCTTTCATTAAGGCTTTTAGGTATTTCGAAACAATTTTATAAGACTTACCTTTTTGTCCCTAACAATATTTGATTTTAAATGTTGACTTAAATGACCCCCTTCATTTTGACACTAAGAACATAACTTTGCAGCAATGAAATTTAAACCGAAACATAAATATATATATATATATATATATATATATATATATATATATATATATATATATATATATATACATCAAACAAAAACAAAATAAGCAAAACACTTTGAGAACCACTCGTTATGAAAGTGATCGCCACATAATAAGAACCACTTAAAATATACAAGAAATCTAATTAAAAAAGATTGAAAAAAATATTCCCAAAACACTTTGAGAACCACTCGTTACAAAATCGACCCTCCCACTTTGAGAATCACTCGATAAGATCCCCCTTATCTCTAATAATAGCGAACTTGAAAATCCGTCAAAAATATTACATACGCAATTGAGAACCCGTTCAAAAACAAGACCCCCACTACCATTTACTTTGAGAACCACTACCCCACCCTCCCCTGAATAATTCTGGTATACGTGTACATTCCACGACCCCTCCCATTTCCCGATTAACTACCGACGGCCCGAAGCGTTTGGCCGCGGCTTCAATGATACGTCTCCACGCAGGTGCGCGGCCGGCTTCGTCGATAATGTTACACGCACACAGGCTTGTCGACAGAAATTTATGGTACCTAGGCAGGGCTGTCACGGGCGCCCCCGAGGTCTGAGCCTATAAACTATCTTTAGGCTTTATGAGAATTTTTAAAAAAAATTTGACAGATCGTATACTTTGTACTGTTGTACACTTAAATAAGGTATGATTTTATTCAGTCGTTATTTGAAAAAAAAATTGTATTTTAAATTTATGGTTTGATGGTAGCCTATAATATTCAACTCAGTTGTTTTCAAAAATAAACTTTTCTCGCTTTGGCTGTAGCAAAATCGTTAATAATATCATAGCCAGTGTGGGCGTGTTCAAAATAGAGACTGGCACGGGCCGAATTTACAAACCCCGGTCTCTCTGGTCGTGTCACGTGTGACTCGTGTACAAAAATTGATGTTTATTTCAGCAGAAGAGAGTACTAAGACGACGGATTGACGGAATTGCATAACAATGATAAAATGGTAAATAACTACGGCAATATTCAGATGCTTGAATTTTAATCTGATTGAAATTCATTTTAGTTAAGTTATATTCACAAAAGCATAAGTAATACATTTTTTATAGCTGATCATAATATTTTCAAAAGTTGATTGCGGGCCCGGGCCGGGCCCCTAAAACTCGCCGGGCCCCTGGGCATTTGCCGCCCCCCCCCCCCCACAAAAGCATAAGTAATACATTTTTTATAGCTGATCATAATATTTTCAAAAGTTGATTGCGGGCCCGGGCCGGGCCCCTAAAACTCGCCGGGCCCCTGGGCATTTGCCCCCCCCCCCCCTTCTCGGCGGACCTGCACACACACGTGTAGAAGGGTCACGTGTTCTTAATATCAACAGACCATGGAAATTTGGAAGAACTTTATATGACCTTAACCTCAAAAACCAACCATCTCGCGACAAGACGACTTACTAGAAAAGTCATTGTAAACAAAGACAAATACTAAAAAAAAAAAAAATAGGGAAAAATCACAAGTCCTTAAGACTAATATTTCCTAATACAAGGATGAAAACCAGGCAAAATATAAACCACTAGACTACAAATTTAAGCAACACACTACAATAACTCTAATTAGGACCCTACTTGGTCCTCAAAATTGACAAGAAGAAGCTTAAAACTTCTGTGATGAGTGCAAAACATAAGCCACCAAAACTACTAATTTAAATAGCATACGACAAAAACGCTAATTTGGAACACACTCGGTCCTCAAACTTGACAAGAAGAAGCTTAAAACCACCTGTCCTGCCTACCGATCTATATACAATCAGAAATTTTTGTTAGAAAATCGACCGCGACATAGTGATAACCACTAAAAATAAATAAGAAATTCACTCAAAACACTTTGAGAACCCCTAAAAATGAGAAATATTTGATTACTCATCAATAAAATTTAATAAACTTATCCTGTTACAACAGATTTATTCCATAACAAGAAAAAAGTCCTTATGATTCACACATAATGAGAACCAATTATTAGAAAATCGACCCCCACATACTTTGAGATCCACTTAAAATATACAAGAAAACTATTTAAAAATAAAAAAATACAAGACAAAAATGACCCCAATCCCTTGACAATCACTTAAAAAATACAAGAAAACTAATTAAAATCAAATTACACAATGAGTATACTAATTCTAAAAATTGACAACCACTCAATAGAAAATTGACAACAACTCAATAGAAAATTGAGAACCCCTGATAACAAATTATATAATAATTACAATCAAAACACTTTGAGAGCCACTCATTAGAAAATGCACAACATTTACCATCATACTTTGAGAGCAACTTAAAATTATATAATAATTAAAAAGAAAAATAATTGCCCAACAATACAAAAATACCCAAATTACACAATGAGCATCATAATTATAAAAATTGAGAACAACGCAAAAGAAAAAAAAAATTGAGAACCACTCATAATAAAAATATATAATAAAAAAGTGTCCTACAAGAACACGTGAAAAATCTGTACAATACTTCTTTTGTTATCTTTTGTCTCTGACGTTGTCTGTAAAATTAATTTAAGAATTTAATCAATAAAAAAAAAATAATTACAAATTAATATATTTACACTCGTAAAACAATTCAAATCAATCAATCAAATTTATCAAAATATTTACACTCGTACAACAACGGAAATCAATAACACTTTTACAACTGTACAATAATAATTAATAAAATCAAAGGGAAGTAACTTTTATTTAAAAAGATAATCATATGCTAAGCGTTTCCTTCACTATATACTACTGACATATCTACGGATAAATTATAGGAAGAAAACAAAAACCCGGTAATCAATCAATTGGTGAAAAAATAAGCTGAAGTTCCTTCACGTCATTGCATTACTTTCTAAAGGTTGTAGAAATCTTTTTCTTTAAAATGAACCATAAAATAAATATTTTGTAAAACTCGATCAGGGAAATTGAGCGGATTTTTTAAAGACTATCTACTTATTTTATGCTGGCCGTTATTTGATTTTGTTATAACTCTTTTGATGTTGCCTATTGAGCTTTATTTAACTTTAATCTGTATATTATCCACACAGCCAAACACACAGCAACACACAGAGCCAAGCACACATTAGTTCCCAAAGCCAACCCCAAAGCTGCATGCAGAGCCAAGTACACAGCCGAACGTACAGCCAATCATACAGCTAACCACAAAGCAGCACCCAGAGCCAAGCACACAGCCAACCCCAAAGCAAACAAAAAAAGACAATTGCACATGCATCCACACAACCAACCGAAAATTAAAAAAACAGTGCCAAGCAATCATCAATTCCTACAGCCAACCCCAAGGCGAAAAACGAAGTCAAGTACACAGCCATCCACAAAAGCCACCCTCTTTCCCAGCATATTAAAATTATATTTCAGATGTAAAAAAAGGTCCATTTCACAAATCAGCGCATGCCGAGATGTTCACGCACAATCTTCAAGATACTGGAGGTCTGTTAGTAAAGGCTCCTGGACGGACGATGAGGACTTTAAACGGATGAACCTTGCATCACAGTACGTCACAACTTCATCGTTTTGTACTATTTACTTGGATTTCTTTGTAATTGAGAGAATGAAAAAGCTGCTAAATAATATGTAACTGGCTAAGAAACTTTGCTTAAAGTTTACATTCATATTATATTTACAAATGGAGTAACAAGAAATATATAAAAAAACACTACAACTTTGAACGCAATGTGTTTTAATTGAAGTTTTGTAATCCATTCGTTGTGTGCTCTGATTCAAAATTAAAATACACACACATGAACATCTAGTACAATTAACACCCTTGTTTTCAAATGAAAAAAAAATTAACTACAGACAATACCATTTGACATTTTGTGGACATGTGTGAAAGACCCCCTGTTGATGCTTTAAACATTCCTCGATACGACAATCCACAGCAATAATCATTCAACTATACACAGTGGAGCATCAATATTTCGTGAACCACAGGGCATCCCTTTCTGTTTCGAAACGTATTAACAAAAGAGATGATGAAAAAAAAAATTCACATAAAAAACTATATAATTTTATGGACCGGACCGAAAGCGTATACCAAAAAGTAAGGGTGACCCGGGGCAGAAAGCCCCTCTCAGTCCCTTCCTGGCCCCGCTACTGCGCAGTTAGGAAATGTATAAATCAAGTTTGGGCAAAACTTGAGAGAAATTGAAACAAAACGACTATAAAATGTATAATTATTATTTTTTGTTGCTTTTTAATCGTACATGGAAAAAATATTGCACAAACAGACACACACTTAAGCAAACACGTGTAAAGCATTCAGTTAATGAAAAACAAGGCCTATCAAGGTGGTTTTAATATTTCTCCAAGTGCATGTCTTTTAATTTGCAGAGAAAAGCGTGGGTTATTAAAATAAAATCTACTACAAATCGTTTGATAGAACGTCAAGAGGGAGGAATACTTGCTTACGATTTTAGAATCAGCTTCATAATCTGCTAATGCTCATTTATACATCATCTCAATTTTGTACAGACGCTTCTTCGATACCAGGCAAAATATTTACCAGTTAGTTGAACAGCACGTCAGTCGAACTCAATGCCAACTCAAATATCTTTGCCAGATGAATTATCTGAATTTTCTACTTTTGAGCCACGACACATTTCTGAAGATTGTACCTCATTAAGAGTGTACCTCAAAACCACAAGCACTGACATTGTGCTACTGCTAGACCTACTGAATCAACTACACTACTTGAAAAAAATACTTATGAAACCATCTACATCAGAGAGAAGTCATATGTTGTGTGTGCTTTAAGGCCTCGGAACAGCGCATCAGTGTACAAACTGTAAGCGATATATATTTAAGTTATTTATGGTTCATAGTTCTTAGAGTGAAGTTTGACACAGTACACGTGTGTTGTGCTAAATCTGTTATGATAAGAAAAAAAATCGAGATCTGCCAAAAGTATTGTTGAACAAGCGAGTAAAATGAGTTCCAGCAAGTTGAATTGGCCACTATTGTGCGGGTTTCCGTTCATGATTGTGACAAAGGACTTAGTGCTGACAGACAATATATTGGCTGTCATCGTAGATGTGCGGACGATGTCTACATCGCTAGGACACGACAGAATATTCACCAAAACAGCTTTATACCACATCTCATTTTTCTGTGTTTTTAGAAACTTCATTTTGAAATTATAAATAATTCCTGTGATTAAACAAATTTCACTCAGATCAGCTACAACAGCACAATGTACCGAAACTGGACAGTGGTTTATTTAATGCAACACAACAGTATACTGGAACTGGACAAGTTTTTTTAGTGCAACACAACAGTCTAATGGAAGTGGACAAAGGTTTGTTTAGTAAAACACAACAGTCTACTGGAGCTGGACAGAGATTTGTTTAGTGCAACGAAACAGTCTACTGGAGCTGGACAAGGGTTTGTTTAGTGCAACAGAACAGTCTACTGGAGCTGGACAGAGATTTGTTTAGTGCAACGAAACAGTCTACTGGAGCAGGACAAGTTTTTGTTTAGTGCAACACAACAGTCTACTGGAGCTGGACAAGAGTTTGTTTAGTGCAACAGAACAGTCTAATGGATGTGGACAAAGGTTTGTTTAGTGCAACACAACAGTCTACTGGAGCTGGACAGAGATTTGTTTAGTGCAACGAAACAGTCTACTGGAGCAGGACAAGTTTTTGTTTAGTGCAACAGAACAGTCTAATGGATGTGGACAAAGGTTTGTTTAGTGCAACACAACAGTCTACTGGAATTGGACAAGGATTTGTTAGTGCAACACAACAGTCTACTGGAGCTGGACAAGGGTTTGTTTAGTGCAACACAACAGTCTACTGGAATTGGACAAGGATTTGTTAGTGCAACACAACAGTCTACTGGAATTGGACAAGGGTTTGTTTAGTGCAACACAACAGTCTACTGGAATTGGACAAGGGTTTGTTTAGTGCAACACAACAGTCTACTGGAATTGGACAAGGGTTTGTTTAGTGCAACACAACAGTCTACTGGAATTGGACAAGGATTTGTTAGTGCAACACTACAGTCTACTGGAATTGGACAAGGGTTTGTTTAGTGCAACACAACAGTCTACTGGAATTGGACAAGGATTTGTTAGTGCAACACAACAGTCTACTGGAATTGGACAAGGGTTTGTTTAGTGCAACACAACAGTCTACTGGAATTGGACAAGGATTTGTTAGTGCAACACAACAGTCTACTGGAATTGGACAAGGGTTTGTTTAGTGCAACACAACAGTCTACTGGAATTGGACAAGGGTTTGTTTAGTGCAACACAACAGTCTACTGGAATTGGACAAGGGTTTGTTTAGTGCAACACAACAGTCTACTGGAATTGGACAAGGATTTGTTAGTGCAACACAACAGTCTACTGGAATTGGACAAGGGTTTGTTTAGTGCAACACAACAGTCTACTGGAATTGGACAAAGGTTTGTTTAGTGCAACACAACAGTCTACTGGAATTGGACAAAGGTTTGTTTAGTGCAACACAACAGTCTACTGGAATTGGACAAGGGTTTGTTTAGTGCAACACAACAGTCTACTGGAGCTGGACAAGGATTTATTTAGTGCAACAGAACAGTCTCAAACAAATGTTGTCGACAAACTAAAGCATGCGTTCAAAAAATAGGTCACTAATTTTCGTGTTCAAATATATATTTTAAATAAGGTGCTTAATTTAAAAATAAATCAATCCATCAAACCTCCACTTCTCAAATTTTAAAAAAAAAATACATTAAAAATTGAACCTGGGTTTTTTATAAAGCTCATATCACAACCTTTAAAATGATGTATCTCATATTTTATCCGACAATTATTTAATGTTAGTCAAATAATCTAATGAGATAGTTAATGCTAAGCCGCGCCATTCTTTAGAATGGCTTGATTTTAACACGTTGTCTTTAACCCGTGGATAAGTTTGGCCTCGGTGCCTTTCCTTTACCATATTGTTTAACATTATCGCATTTCCGTGTTCTTGAATATTTTGTTATGGAATGAGAGTTTAACTGATTTCAATTTCAAATTAATGAAACTAAAATACTAGTTGTGTGGAAATCTGAATAAAACTTACCACAAATCAACAGCAATATATTGAGCGTATGTAAAGTAGGATAAACCACTTCTAAAATGGGAAACAGGGCTCATTATCTTTGTGTCGTACCACAACTATTTATTAAACTTGTTTATTTTTCCACTGAAGATATCCCTTCGTAACCAGCTACGGATTTTGAAAAGTTACTATGTTGTAACATTTGGATGGTGGAATGAACAATGCGTAACAAACGATGGATAAAACCAGTATTAAAAAAAAAAAGCTTTAGCCAAGAAATGGTTACTAACATTATTCAATTTAATGATACCATTAAATATATATATATAAAACAAATTCAAAGTAAGAGGAAAACAATTTTTCGACTTATAGCAAAGCAAGTAAAAAGAAACGCTAATCGAAAAAAAATACATACACATTTCAATATTGCAATCATTTAAAGGTTCGTGTGTTATGGCACATAGAAAAAATCTCTCCAGGCTAGTAAAGCTGGAGGCCTATATATCAGGATTAAAATCACAACGATCTAGTTTTTAAAAAATCTAGAAAAAGCGATACCCGGTAGAATTCTTTAAAACAAATAGAACGATGTCGAATGTAAAAACCCTTTTCCCAGTCAAAGGAGGTGTGGGTAAGGAGTTACTCTGAACATTTACTCAATGACGACAACATAAAAGCAAACAAAAAATGTTCAGACAATCTGTTGTGTTTAAAAATGAGGCATACACATATGTCATATTACCTTGTCACATCGGTTCATTGTTCAGTTTTATCAAATTGACAGACTAGGACCTTATGATTTTCAACTCAGTGCCTTTAAGGATCTGAAAAAAAAACTGAACTTAATAAATCACGAAATTTCATATACCTTTTTAAACAGGATGTTTTAACGATGACGTATGATAAATACTCCATCCAGGTGCTGTGCTTTCAATCACACGGAGCTAATGGTACCCGCGCCTCGTGCTGAACTGTATCCATGGGAACGGGAATTGCTATTCTTACCACCTCTGTGCAACTTGTCAGATATTGCTTCGGCTGAACGTTCAGTCATAGATCTGCTGACGGACACCAGTGACGGTTCACTGACATTGGGGTCAGAGGTTAAATTTAAGATATTTCTGTTCAATGGTCGTGGAGAAAGAAGAACAAGTGGTAAGTTTAAATGGACATCAATATTCTTGATAAACCTTTGAGAAATGATACAATTTGACAACACACAAAATACACACAAAAAAAATTAATAAGCCTAATTTTGGGGAAAAAAATATGTGTCTCTACTTTTACCCCTCCACCAACTCCTCCAATTGTTAGATCGTTCACGATGTTTTTGAATCGATTTCAGTCCTAAGCTTTCCCTTCTCACTCATGTCATTCTTGCTGCTATTCTCAATTTTTCGGGCGAGGTTCCTTGGATCCATGATCTTCCTCTTTTGCTAATGCTTTTTTGGATACTCGTTTGGAGACAGTCCAGCAATCTTGGTGTTCGGTTACATCAGTGTACACCTAGTACATCTTCCTTTCCATTTTCTTAGAACCGTCGGGTGGACACTTGAACCCCTGTGGTCGCAGTTGACGCCTGGTATATAAGTAGTCTTCAGCATAATGAGGAGAAAACTAACACCTGTTAAATTAAATTAAATGAGGGAATATGACTGACAAAATAGCGAAATTTTCTTTTCCATTTTTAAAGCTATTAGCGAAGTTATGGTTATAAGACAAATAATTCATATCTATGCAATAGGGTAGAAAATGTGTTGTGGAGGAGACGGTCCACCTATGGCAGAAATATTTTTTCTTTATATTCAGGGGTGACATTTTCGGCCACATGTTGTTGTTTTTTTGTTTTCGCGACGGGAAGCAAAAAAATATTGGTGCACTCCGAAAGGCACTTACCCTAGCTATACCTTTCTATCTACAATATTAAAATTTAAAAAAAAATGCAAAAAAATTGCAAAAAAAAAAATGTCTGTCATTTCCTTTAAATGTTTGAATAGAGCAACGTTAATTGCATATTGCACTTGTCCTCGAGCTTATTTTTAGACTTCATTACACGCATCAGAGAAGTAAGGTTTTTTTTTTTTGTTTTTCTCTTTTAATAATTCACATTTCTCGATACCACTGATGCCTGGATAAATCACACTAAAAGGCTTTGAACAAGGGCCGGATATCTTGATTAAAATAGAATTTGTATATTAACAAAATAAATTAAACGTTACATATGAAAATAGTATACACTACTCGGCTGTGCTAGTTTTTCCAATACCCTCTTTCGGACTGACGCTATTGTTTTTAATCTACGCCCAATTCAACTGTTTAAAAAAAAAAACATAGGTGGAGACAGTGTTTGGGTCTGGCTGGTCACTAGCGAACTCGGGGCGTCCATCGCGGCTGACGTCGTAGACAACAAAGATGGCAGCTACACGGCGTCCACCATCTTGCCCTGGAGTGGGAGAGTTCAGGTCAAGGCCACCATCTCACACCACAGGGAGCTGTTCAGGACAATGCTCTACATTCAAGTAAGTTGTGATCTTTGCAGTCATCCAACGTGAAGGCTGGGTCGGGGAAACGAAAATCAGTGGTAACACTCACAAAGATGTGACGCGTGGGGCGCCTGCACGGATTCATACATTGTAGAGGCCCCAAAAATATTTCCTGAAATCTCGAACCCTTTTGTTTTCCAAAACAAGTAATTGAAATGAAATAAATAAGTATGAAACTAATTCAACTATGTTAGTTCTCCTTCTTTAATTAAGTCCAGGAGTCATGGATAGTTAAAGAATGGATTTGTTGCTGTCTCACTGGAATGTTTGTAGAGCGGAACTTCGATGATGTTCTGGTGGTTTTGTTTTTTTTTGTGGTCTTTTGGGGGTTTTTTGGGTTTGTTTGGGTTTTTTTTTTTGACGCGTGTGTATAATTGAATGTTTCACGTGGGCATTTGATGTATTCAATTATTTTGTCTTCAATTTCAAGCTTCTCAATAGTTTGCCCCAGATATTCCCGCGGGTGATTATAAAATGTACCTCATAGTCAATGTCAAAAAAAGGTGTGTGAGTATGGGGTTTCCTTTGTAAAATGTAATACGCATAAACCTATTACCTTATCTGCAAACGACTTTCATAAATCTTCATGTGCTATGTTTTCCATTCATAAAATTTCTACTATGAAACAACATTTCAAGACAGATTTTAAAAAATGTAACAAACAAACAAACAGTTCACAAAAAGTCATTCTTGGTTTTACTACATCTCAAACTTTTGTAAAAGTAAAAAAAAAAAAAAAAGGTTACTTACAAAGTGAAATCATGTATTTTAACGACTGCTATATTTTATTAAAGTACGTTTATTTATAAACAATGAAACTGCTTACTATGCGAGTATGCATGTTAATAGAATCTACAATACTATTGCATTAAATAGATTTATACCCTAATATAATTGCTGGTGTTTGTGCATTGCAATTTATTTATTTATTTAAAAAAATTTTTTTTTTGCTTGAAGTGTAATGAAGGTGAAGACATGGCAGGATGAAATACACAAGGAGTTGTCGGAATTTGTTTTCATCGAAATTTAGCATGTCCCTTCCATTGAGATTTTTCTCCTTAACTGGGCTGTAATGGGAATTGAACTCCACATCATTACTTAAGATTTAGACCACTCGGCCACCCAGCACACATATGTTTGTCATTGTTATTGCCATTAATTAACACATTAAAAGTACACACCCATCATGATAATGACCTTAACATTGATTTCCTGTCCTCAATTTTCGAAGCGCTTATTCACAACCACCCACTGGTTCACCGGGAGATTTAAGAACGACAGAGGCTCAGAGACGACTCCCTGTTCCCCTCTTCCGTTTCTCCCAGGATTCCCTGAGCCGGAAGTGTGCAACTTGACAGACGTGAACGGCTTCCCTTGGTTCTGTGGGAAGCCGGCCAAAAAGGATCTCCTGAATGTAAGGGATTAGATTATGGATGTCTTTAAAAAAAATTGATGAAACGTTCCACCGTCCCTAATCCTAACTTAGATTTTGACAAATAACCGCAAACATCAGATAAACAGCAAACTAAAACGAAAGTATAAATATTGAAGAAGAAAAGCAGATAATGTGAGATTTACAGGGTCAAGTGTGTATTTTGTTTATTTTAAAAGTTTTGTATTAAAGATCAAATACAAACAATATAAGACCTTCTAATTCTCAATCTGTTGTATTCTTTCGTCACAGTGTTCTGACTTTACATCGTCCAAAAAACTAAATATCCCGAGTGATTTCCCATTGACTGAGGCTGAAGAGGAACTCATAAGAATGTGGGAAACGTGAGTTGTGTACTTTGATACTGTTTTATTTTTTTTTAAGCTCCGGGCCGACCAGAGCTTCTTCCTCTCTTCTTGTGAAAGTAAAGTTTTTATTTTGATAAGTAAATGTTTCTCATTTCATCAAATAAAATTTGATTATGTCTTGAACTTAACGGATCTCATCTAATTAAACTAGCGATTCTTAATTTTAAGATTTCAATATGAAGAATATGTGATAAAGGCAGATTCGACACATTTTTTCCGCATGTACCTTAAATTCAAACAGAAAAATAATTATTAAAAACATCTTATATACATTTATAGCCCCGTAATACGTTTTCATGAGAAATGTTTTGTTTTTTCAGGAAAAGACCGTTCATGATTGCTAACAAAATAATCATAGATGTCTTACCAGGTACGTTAATAACATTTACCGGTTATACATCCATTGCATGGTTGCCACAAAGTCTGGACAGCTGTCACATATTCACGTTAAAAATTTAAGACTGCTAGGAAGTCCAAAGTTTGGCAGTTTGAGGGACGGATGATTATTGCGGTAGTGTGTACTGATTGAACTATGTACGCAGATTGTTATGTTTTGTTGTCATGTTGTAAGACTGGGCATTTTTGAGTCGTTTTCATGAATGTTTAAACTTAAATATAATGTGATTATTTTGACGAAAACTGGTGTTGGTGGACATGTGATGTGGGTATGAAAGGAACGTAGAATGGTGAATAAAAGTTAGTTGTTACACAGAACAAAGACTTGCGTTAATATTTTTATTATTCTTTTACAGAATTATTCGGAAAGATTAGTTGAAGATTATAATACAGACATTATTATCTGTAAACAGTTGTAATTTTGTGCTAAATAATAATGTACAATACTTTACTTTACTTGTTATTTATTATATGAGAATTACTTCTTCACAATATACCTATAACATTTCAAATGGCACAGTTTATATAGAAAGTTTATTAAAGGAAGTTAAGTATAGGAAGTTTAATATAAGAAGTTGAGAATATAAAGTTTAGCAAAGGAAATTTAGTATATTTAAAAAAAAATAGAAATTGTAGTATATTGAGTTTAGTTTAGGAAGTTAAGTATAAGGAGTTTAGTAAATAATGTTTAGTATATACATTTAAGTATAGAAAGTAAACTATTCCAAAAATTAGTATTTTAATATTCATCGCCAAGGCTGTTATTTTTATGTAAATATTTTTTTGTTAAAAAAAATGTAATTAGTTAAAAAAATATTAAAAATATTACGGGTAATTAAATTAAAAATTCCGCTGCGAATTAAACCCATACAGACACACATGTTTTCCCACAACCTGATCTTCCTTGCAACAAACGGAGCCTTTCATTAACATTTGATGAGGTCAACTCTTCCGGTTTCTTCTACAACAAAACCTGGAGGCCTCTTGCCTGCCAACTCCCACGTGTTGACAAGGAGTTCCTCCGGACGTGTTTAACAAATACCCAGGTGATTTATTTGGTCATATCTCTTCTTAGAGCATAATCCGTTTCACTGTCTTAAGTTGAGAAAATCCATAGGCTTGGCATTACAATGTATTTACTAACCTCAGGTCAATACTAGGTAACCGCAGCTGGTGAGCTCAAGTATTCAAACATGATCAGACTCCGCCAACATAATTGAACCCCCCAGCATAAACTAGCTGACCTATATCCCCCCAACCCAGCATAATCTAACTCCCCCTAGCATAAAACTAGCTGCCCCATAACTGCCCCATAACTGCCCCACCCATCATAATCTTAACACCCAAGCATAAACTAGTCCCCATAACTGTCCCACCCTGCATTTCTAACTCCCCCACATTGCATAATCTAAATCTCCATTATAAACCATCCCCCATAATTCCCCCACCCTGCATAATCTTACTCCCCCAGCACAAAGTAGCTGCCTCATACCTTCCCTACCCAACATAATCTAACTCCCCAAGAATCATAACTCCTGCCACCCAACATAGTAAGCCCGCGATTTGGCGAAGAGAACTCACTGAATTTATTATAAACGTCTTGTCTTCAAAATGTTTTATTTATGTGCTGAAGATGCATAATGCAATCAAAAAACATTTCCATTTATTTGGATCAATGAAATAATCTTATCTTATCTTATAATCTAACTCTCTCAGCATAAACTAGCTACCTATAACTCCCTCACGAAACCTAATCTAACGCTATCAGGATCCCACACCCATTTTCCCGATGTTAAACATCACACTACCGATCTCAATTGCTTGAACATCGATCGTTAGTTCATCATCCAGCATTAGATATGTAAAATAAGAGATGACGTCATCAATCACCTCTTGCCACTTCCCTATTTTTGAAAGAAAATGATTATTATTTCAACGCTAGCAATTAATGTAATGTAAAATTTTGAGGATATATAACAATAGAACGTTGCAATAGCTTTTGGTAATTTTTATTGACAGAAGCTGCTTCTAGAAGTAGAACTAGGATTATTTTTTGCATCCCCTGTATTTTTACTACTGGATGCAATCCCCTAGACAGTTCCAAGGTCAAGAACCTTTGTACTTTTTATGACAGGTCTCTTCGCAGTGTACTTATTTCATCGTTGTTTGCTTTGTCTCGTGTCTAAACAGATGATTATTATCGGGGACTCGAACTCCAGAAAACAGATGGACATCTTGACGAAAATGGTTGAGTGCACGGACCAAATCAAAAGAACACGGGTGAGCTCGATATCGCCGAGTGCAGTTTGGACACGTCAACTGTGAGAGACTTGGTCGTTAAATCAATATACAATTAAAGAAATTCCATGCCATTAATAGAAAAACTTTAACGAAACTATAGTGGAGTGTTGGTAACAACGTGCAACGTCAATACATTGGATTAAGACAATGTCCAGAAGAATTACAAAGAGAAAGAGTACGATTTAAACAGAAATAAATAAACAAGAAATAAACATTCAGAGCCATATGTAAAGCTTCATTTCGAATACATTTGAACGTTGGAAACCAGAGCCTAATTAAAGTGCCCCTAAAAAAAAAAAAAAAAAAAAAAACAGAAATAAAAAAACAAGAAATAAACATACAAAGCCATATGTAAAGCTTCATTTCGAATAAATTTGAACGTTGGAAACAAGAGCCTAATTAAAGTGCCCCTAAAAAAAAAAAAAAAAAAAAACCCTGTTCGTATCAATCCTTTATATGCATTTTAAAAATTATTTTAATTAATATTAATATACTGAGTGCCTCGATCTCTTTTACACGGCAGATTTATTTCTTAAAAATCTATTTGATGAAAAAAGAAATGAAAATACGACGCACCAAAAAAAAACAAAAAAAACGCACTTTCGAAATTTTCTTTTTTAAGTATCTTATTGAGCAAAGGTATAGGGAATTTTATATCATTAAATTAGAAACATTTTTTTTTGCATCTTCCCTTTGAAAAAAATAATAAATTATCTTTGGGGTTAGGGCTGGGATCGAAAAGTTACTTTTATTTATGGATTTTTTTTTTTTTTTGGGGGGGGGGTGGGGGGTTAATTAACATAATATAACAAGGTATCTATCTCTGATCACAGGTGACCTGGCATGCCCCACTGAGGTGTGACGTGGACGACCTGGGCTTGTCCATCAAGTACTACCCACACAAAATGCCATTCTATGGCACAGAGGTAAGGATTGTAATAAGGAAAAACTATATATATATATATATAAATCCCTAGGAAAAAATGATCGGGAATTAGGAGGAAAAAGGGGGGGGGGATACTTCACGGGAACGATTTCTCTACATTAAATGTTTTAGGAATCAAGCACAGCTACATTGACTACCTTAACATTCCATCCCTCTCTCCTCTCTCTCTCTCTCTCTCTCTCCCCCTCTCTCTCTCTCTCTCTCTCTCACTCTTCTTTTCCGGATTAAGCTCCTCACATTCTCGCTTATTGACAGATTCAGCAATGTTTGAGAATATTTTATAATTGTGATGAAGAAAATGAAAATGAGTGAATGTTTTTTAAAATTATTTTGTGAAACTATTCCTATTTAGAGTCAAGCTTTTATGCCCTTATCTTAATTTTTTTTTTATATTTATTTATTTGACAAAGTTCTGTAGTCTAAATTGGTTGATCATTCTTCCCGATACAATTGTCCAGGAAAGATGATTTGATAAAAGAACTACACAGAAGTTATTTTTTTTTAACATTCACATTTCTTTATCGCTAAAAAATTCTTAATCGTGCATTTAATTGCATGTAATTATTTTAAATCCAGTTCATCTGACTATTACAGAAAAAGGTATTAGCTCTATCAATGTTTTGAACATAATCATATTCCTATAATGACTTCAGGGTGAAGACTTGCCCAGCCACGTCCTATACTCATCCGTCTCACAGCTGGACGCCATCCCAGCAGACGGCAAGTACCTCGTCCATCTGCACCAATTCATTCACCTGGTTGGTTTTCACTTGTCCATCGCCGAGCACCAACTGCGCCAGATACGCAAGGCCATCGAACGGCTGATGGCCAGGAATCCTCACGTGATCGTCGTCTACCAATCAGCGTTCACGTTCATCGAACGGGAATTCAGAAATAAGCACAAGATGAACGTTTTCCTCGTGCAAATGCAGAAAGACATTCTCCGAGGTCTGGGCGACCGGGTGATGTTTATGTTCACCTGGCCGATAACCCTAGCGGCGGAAAACACGTATGGGCATCCGATGATCTCGGATCAGTTTACAAAATATTACATGGGTCACGTTTGTGGACGTTGGTGATGGGATCTTTAAAGTGGTAAAGTAAAGTAAGATCTTTAAAGTAAAATTTAAAGTGGTATTTTCTTTTGGGAATCTTATTCGGCCTAGTCAATGTCAAAGCTGCTTTCGATGAGGGTAAAGGTTTCCTTCTCAACGTTTAATCTACATCTTGGATAGTAGTATAGTACTTCATGTTTGACTCGCATTTTCGAGGCGTTGGGTGAGCAAATAATAATGGGGCGCACCTCCGGCATTATGTATGAGTAATGGAGGCGCTAGAGTCGGGATGATCAATAAATTAATGTGTTATAGTTAAATGTTTATTTTAAAAAAAAATTATGTCATTTAATAATCTCGTGTGGTTTGTGTGAAAGGATTTTATTATTATCTTTTATATTGATGGATTTTAAATAATTTAATAGGAATTTAGCTTTCTTGTAGTGTGGATTTTCAAAAGGTATTTAATTATTGATATTGAAGTGTCATACATTTATACATTTTTTTTTTAATGAGTGGTCTTGTTGGATTGTAGTTCAATATGAATTAAGTATTCTTGATGTATATTCAAAACAATTGAAATATTGATAATTTTAATATTATTTATATTGAGTGGCTGTCCATAAAGTTATGTATTATCGTGTGTGATTTTTGATGGGCTTCGTGTCCTATTTTACAATTATCTTATACAAAATGGTTAATAATTTGAATTTTATTTAATTTTATTGAGTGGTTCTTAAAATTTGTGAAAATGTGTGTATATATTTTGATAGATTGATGCTTTGTAGTAATTATATATTTAATTCATTGTCTTTTAGAATAATTATTTGAAGTTGTTAAAACGTGTATTGAGTGACTCACAAGTTAAACCTAGTCATAACTTTTCTTTCAAAATAATTTATACACAAAAACAAAACACATAGAACACCAGGAATAAAGAGGAGTTATGTAGTTATTGTAAGTTTATTTTATGATAAGAATAATTTTTCAGATTAAAACATCGCTATTTTAGTTTGAAATATTTAATAATTTATATATATATATATATATGTTGTGTGTGTGTGTGTATATATATATATATATATATATATATATATATATATATATATATATATATATNTATATATATATATATATATATATATATATATATAACTGAAGAAAACGTATCAAACACACGGGAAAGAAAATTTCTTAGAAAATTATATCGACCGAAATGAATGGATATGGATTGAGTCTCAAAGGTATGAGAATCACTGTGTTTATGCGTGAGGTCGGAGTGAGTTTTGTTGATCAAACGGAGTGCGAGTATTGGCGAGCAAGGTGTGAGATTGTCCATCGATGATGGGCGGGAGAGTGTAATGTATACATATACTGTGTCGGGAGATAGAAATGTATTATTGCCCGTTATTAATAAGGATTGTATTGTGCGATTGTAGTACTTCGAAAACGATTGCTAGTGACTTTTGAAAGTACTGATTTTCTGTGTAGTGGACTCTCCGGATAGCTCAGGAGTTCTTTCCTTGACTTAGGACTTTTGTGATTGATGAAGCACGGCTGTCTTCTCAGTACGAAGTGCATGAGCTTAATGTTGCAACTGTTTTACATAATCCACAACAGTCTATGTGGCGGCAATAGTAGTAGTCCATGGACTCAACTGAGACTAGGAAATAACCAGAATTAAACAGTCTTTATCAGGATCCCATGCTAGCATTAGACAAAAATAAAAATGGTGGTCTATGCTGGGCAGGACACTTAGAAAGAATTGCAAATGACAGATGATTGAAGGTGATGCACCACCAAAGCACCAGAGAAAACAGCTCAAAGGCAGTCCAAGGCTGAGATGAATTCATGGGGAAAAAATCTACAGCATCCGGGCATTCAAGCATGGTAAAGAAAAGCATCAGTTAGGTCTGAGCGAAAGGAATCGGTGATGCAGGCACAAACCCTACATTTGATGCACCGCCACAGCGGTGGATGTTTGAACAGCTATAATGCTATTACGATGTTATCATTTACAAGATTATCCACAATATTGTTTTAGATTATAACTTACATAATTGTGAAATATAGTTATCTGAAAAAAAAATGTATTTTCGCAATAGAAATATCGTGTTTATAATTGCTTTGTTTAGGCGTAATATATTTCATAAATAATGCATATTCATTTAAATTTTCTTTGTAAACAAGGTATACACCATATCTTATTGAAATTGTGGACACTTTTTGAAGCGTTAATTTCATTGAAATATTCAGAAAAGTAGCTATAGATGTCTTAGTTATGTAAATAATTACCTGATAGTTTCATTTTAAAACTAAACCACTTGAAAGACTCATAGATATTGCTTTTCTTCAATTCACATACATAATTGCAAAAAAAAAGAATTTCAAAAGAAATATGTATTTATTAAGAAACTGATAGGTATGACGTATATCATTTTGTATGTGAGGATCACTGATGAGAGATTGCCGAGCCAATTGATAACATTGTATTTCCCACGCCTTGTAGCACGGATGGAGGTTAACTGTTAGGAATATGACTGGCCAATGAGGGTGTTAGATCATGTTAGTGAGCGAAAAATGTATTTGGAAGAAACCGAGATGAAAACCATTTAATCAGATGAGATAAGATTTAGATATGATAGGAGTTGAATGGCGTTTGTGATGACGTGATGATTGTTGACTTTTTGATGAGAATGAAATATTGCAAAGATTAAAAGTGTGTATTTTTTTTACATCTCCTTTATCTGTGATTTCATATTTATATACATATTCTATTTTCTTGTGAAATTCTGAACAAATATAAAGTCACTAAATGAACCAGCAAAGTCTCGTGCATTATTTATATCAGTGTCGAGAATCTCGTATCAATCTTTTGCTTCTGGTATGGCCGCTTCTTTTTCCCAACATGTTGAGGTGGCCGAGCGGTCTAAACTGTCTCACATCAAACAGCTGGTTGTCTGGAGTTCAATCCCAACCAAAGCCAACATCCCCAAGCGACCCCGGGTGGATGGGACTCGTTAGCAACCCATCCAAGAGAAGGCAAATTCAGAATTTAAACCACGAGCCAGAATGATCAACGAATTGATCGCGGGTCTCTCAAATATAAGAAGAAGAATGTATTACTTGTGCCGAGTGAAAAAAGCGATAAATCAGCGAGCGACTTGCGTTACAGTTGATCCCAGGTAAATGGCTTGACTTTTCACTATTATATAAATAAACAAAGCACAATGGGTATGGTGAAGGACTCTGTTTGGGCCTGCTGTTTATAGAATATGAGAAGTTAACTCTTTTTTTTTTTTTTCTGTAACACTTGGACTCACCGGTTATTTTCTTTTTTAGTAGTAGATAAAAAAAAAAAATTAAATTAAAATAAAAATGTCATGATCTCCGTCAAACTTATTTGAAACTTACCCAGTAACGTGTTATATTAAAACCACATACATTTTAATGCACCTTTTGTTATTTAATCTGTAACACTTGGACTCACCGGTTATTTTCTTTTTTAGTAGTAGATAAAAAAAAAAAATTAAATTAAAATAAAGATGTCATGATCTCCGTCAAACTTATTTGAAACTTACCCAGTAACGTGTTATATTAAAACCACATACATTTTAATGCACCTTTTGTTATTGATAGTGCTTGCGGCGCTGACTTCTTTGCCCCCGGCCCCTAACTTATGAAAACCAGAAAACTATTCCATTTCTTTCTAAAACCCAGTTCATAAAATTTCCTCCTAAACCTGCATGTAAGCCAATTAATGGATTACGAGAAACCAATATTGCTTTAGAAAATGATAATTATAATTTTTTTTTTAATGTTTAAATTTTTTTTTTTTAATTTTCAAAAAAAAAAAAAAATGATTTAAATATTTTAAAAAATTATTCTAATATGTCCATTCCCTGACCAATCCGCTTTAATGGGATTATTTGGAGGGCCAGTTGGTTAGGGGTAGGCAAATGATGTGCCAGGGTGAAGGGTGTTTGCTTGAGAAGGTACGCACGGATCTTACATTTGATCAATATAACATCGTTGCATCCAACCATATCATGGTCGACTCTGTTTAATGTTAATGTGTAAAGAAAAAATTCCAAAACTGAATTGACAAAAGTTTTTGTTTAATCTATATCTTTAAAACTCACCAATTATTTTTAATTTTGTTTGGGAAGTGTTGCACTGGCTTCTCTTGTGAGAAATTAATCTCCTATTTTAAATTTATGGCTCGTTCAAACAGTGACTAACAAAGGACGATACCATAGATAAATACAATAACAAAATTACGACACCCAAAACAGTACCAATTACAATTAATACGATTTAATTTAGAAATAATACAATTACAAAAACAAAAGAAATATCATTACAAATCATCAGCTTACAGTATGGTAGATCTTGTACCGGTACACAGTTTACGCAGTTAGTACAATGTGCCAATTAATAATGTACAGTGACGAAAGCGAATAAACACATATAAGTACACAAAGAATGATACGCGCCTCGTGAAGTTAAAATATATCTATCTGAATCTCTCTGTGCCTGCCAATCCCTTACCTATGTGGGTCTACCGACGCGTCTAGAACCGCCCTTACTTTTCTAATTCAATCGAGAACAATCGACAAGACACTAGTAGACATACTAACCATGTTTAATTGGAAGTCGGTAGTAAACAAGATACATCAAACGACGAGGCCGCGCCCACAACAAACGCTACCGTCTGCTAGCGATCTAATGTGGAGTGAAGCAAAGTTCCAGCACGGGGGAAAAGTGTAAAACATAACAGGAAGATTGTAATCAATAAGCACCACTCCAGAATTCATTAGTGATTTATTCTTTTCGTTCCTTAATAGACTTGTCTCTGTTTTAACACTTTTCAAACTTATATGCTATTTATTTAGAATCTATGCGTCTCAGTTACATGTTTTCTTTACTTCATTTGCCCCCCCCCTCCCCCCCTCCCCCGACCCCCGTGAATTTCTTTCCCAGCAAATCGTGTGACTCTACGGGGATACATTTGTCCTATGGATTTTTTTTTTCCAGCTACCTTAATATCAATCTGTGCTAGTGCTATGTTCATAACACCTGGATCAGTGTTGCCCAAACGAACGATGTTTCACGGTCAGTTGGCGTTCCGACGCTTACCTTACCTTTTCGGTCCGCACCATTTAGGCGCTTAAGATCAAATAAAAACAAAATGTACCACATACACCTTGCACAGGCCCTCGGTACACCGTCAGAACGTGTCTTTAAGTGCCTGGGAGGCGTTGACCTAGATCACGAGCCTGTTCAATTGCTGCCCTAGATCACCAGCCTGATTTTTCTCTGCCCTAGATCATGAACATTTTCAAATACTGCCCTAGATCATAAGAGTGTTCAATCTCTGCACTAGATCACGAGACTTTTCAAATGTCGCTCTAGGTCACGAGCCTGTTCAAATTCTACTCTAGGTCACGAGCCTTTTCAAATTCTTCCCTAGGTCACGAGCCTGTTTTAAATGCTGCCTTAGATCACGAGCCTGTTC